CTATTCATGGAAATGGAAAGGGGGGAAAGTGCACGTTTAACCCACTAACATGTACTAACCGACAAAGAACCAGGCCCCCCCCCCACCCCCGCCGTCACTTTCACTAACCAAGAGAAACTCCTCCTAGACCTCTAACAGGATGTACTCACTAAAACCTTACAGGGTACTCATGTTACTGTCAACCTACATTCTGCTCTGATTAATGAATCTCTACGTGCAATCAAGACTTTGTCTGAAACCATACATCAGGATATTGTGTACACACGAGTGGTGAGAGATTTGATGCAGGACCTGCTCAGGGAAGTAAGTTCCACGCTAGACAGCTTGGTTGAAAGTCGTATTTCCCCGTACTTACCCCTCTACTGTGCACCTTTCACAAATCCACCTAGCGTACAGCCTAGGTAGTGCAATGCCCATTCACGTTGATAAAAAAAAAATTAGAGCTCGGTTTCCTGTTAAACGTTCCCATAATTGAGACACCTCACATCTATAGGCTTAAGTCTATTCTAAACTTTGGTATTTGAAAGGACGGTAGGCATTTTCACCTTGAACTAGAAACCTGGCACTCCATCATCTCAACCTCGAACAGCATGACTCAGAGATTGATATCATGGACGCTTTCCAGGGTTATAACTTTGCCTTCGATTTAGAAATTGACCAACAATTACTGATTGAAGGAACCAAATTTGTTAAGTTCACACAAACCCCGCGTGAACTTACTTTGACGCCCATTAATAGATACCCAAGACGCTACATAGACACAGATTATACCACCTTAATCTGCACATTGGTCGCCCTGGGGATGGGATGGCTCATCACGGCCGTGATAGCTTATTCCACCTACAGGCGTGTTAAGAAACTCCAAGATAAGATGCACTTGCTCACCTACGGTGTGCCTCGTGACCGCGTTCGGGGAGACTCCAAGCGTGAATGTACCACACCTGTCTAAAGGGGGTGAGCAACATTTTCTTTGTTATTCTGTAACCCGAAGAGTAGTTCTCTCTTTAGTCTACCTCACTTATTTATCTGAGTGTTGCAGTATGTCACATTCTTTATAAGCTACACACTGAATGTATGACCTAAGAATGTATTTTATGAGACCTCAAGGTTGCTATGAATTTTCTTGGATGTTATATGTTTTTTTTTTTTTTTTTTGGGTTTTCTGTATTTTTGTTTCTTACTTGGTCACATATTAACTAGTGGTTATGTGCCGGCCCAGCTCAGTCTGTCAATGACTCTGTCTGACGCACCAGCACATTGTAGTACCTCTTAGTTTTATGGTCCTTGTTTTAGCCCAAAGACTGTCCTGATCCACCCTTTGGACCAAAAAGGGGGGGAATCTTGGGACCACATAGGTCAATGCGCGTTTGCGAACTATGGACCTCGTACATCACCGCGTGCTCCATAAACTGAACTGTATGGCCGGCGGTGAGATGCCTTTGTGTCCCCTCGTGGAGTTAACCGCCCACCGACCTTCCTCCTTCTACACTACTACCTCTCGCATGGACGACATCATCATTGCGTACCACCTGCGTGAGTGGCTTCTTCTCGTTATGCGCGTTGGGGACTATCCCGTTTCCTATCCTCTTTGTGCCTGACCAGGATCAAAGACCAAAGGCGCCAGGATCCAAGACAAAGACCAAAGACAAAGGCGTCCAGGGAGACCAACGTCCTAAGGGACAAACCCACCTGTGCTTCTGACAATCAAGTCGACCGACAACCGTCGACCTACGTTCATGAGGGACAAACCCATCTGTGCTTCCGACGATCGAGCTTTGGGCGCGATCCCCGAAACCAAAAGGGGGAATGTTGAGGGTCTGACCTCATGAGGAAATTACTATGCAGTGATTTTCTCCAAAATGACTGTGCTTAAATTGCTCTGAAAAGCAAATAATCACATCAGCGCCAAGAAACTTCATTTCCCATGATGCTTTGCACACGGAAGCATTGGGATGATGTCACCGCCTAATACCAGAAACACGTTCTGTGTGTGTGGGAGGCCATGGAGCTTTTCCCGCGAACTCAGACTATAAATCATCAGCAAAGACAAAGGAACTTCGTTCTTTTGCCCAGGATACCTGGCGGTAAGGACACGCTTGTCGAACGCTCCGACTCCCTTGAGCACGCGGAAGCTCTAAGTGCCCAAGTTGAGCTCACGGAACCGCTGGAAGCTAAACTACAAGCCATCAGGTCTGTTCAACCGCTCGCTGCTCTAGCTGCTGAAAGGAAGAACACACAGAACCGTGAAGGGAAATCCGCAACTTCGTCAAACTCACGGAGAACGCCAAACAACGGAGAAAGCATCGAACCGACGGACGACGCCAAACTGCGGAGAAACACGGAGAACCGTCAACTCAAAGAGTGAGGGACGCCTCGCTCTTCTGGTGATCAGAAACTCATCTCTTTCTCTCTCTCCTTCTTCTTCCGTTTCCTCTATAGTCCAGAATAAGCAATAAAACCGCGCTATTGCTTCAAATTACCAGACGAGTTTCTCTTTCGCTCCCAAATACGTCCATCGGGTCATTTTGAAAGAATAAACTGCTTATTTATCATTGTTTGAATATCTTTAAATGTTTTCTACTATGGCCAAGTGGTGAAACTAAAAGATATTAATTTGTGATTAATCTTGTGTGTTGTTTCATGATCCTTTGAAATGTTTTGAGTGATTTTAAGGTTAAGTTACTTCTGATTCTAAGTGCCTTGGAAGTTAAAGTGCAAGTTGCCACCCACACTTTAGCCAGACAAAGGGGTCAGCCATCTTGTATTCAAGACTCCATTTTTAATCCATACACACGCACACACACACACTCTACTCCTTTGTGAGAACAAAGGACCCCATTCATACATCCTCCATCACACGCAAACACATCCATCTTATTATATCACATGGTTATCATTCATTTATTTCATTGTTTATTCATTTAACAAATTGTTTAATTAAATGTCATAAAATTCAGATTTTTGTGTCCAGTACCTTTGTTGTGTCGAAGAGAAGTCTCTGCTCCGAGGATTCTACGAACTTCAACAAAGACTGATAAGAGTTTTGGATTCAATTTTTCCCCGGTAGAACGGGGTGGTGCCCCGGGATATCTAAGAATATCTTAATTAATTAATAAATCAGTAAATATTCCCATATTTACAGAATTTATTGAAGAATCCAAAAGTAAGTTGAAGCTTACTAATTGTTCGCTCCTAATAACCCCAACAGTTGTCTGCTATAAACTAAAGAGGTGATTATTAACAAAACAGCATCAGACGCAATCTGTTGTGTCTACAAACCCTGGCGGAGACCCCATGCTGATCCGGACTGTCAGAAGTCTAGTGGACCTCACGGCGCAGGGATTTCGTAGATTAATTTTGATGTGACCCGTCCAGCCTTGCGATGTCTCCAGGTCACAACAGTAGCTGGAATGCTGTTTGAGTCCAAAGTGGATGTGGCTCGTAGGGAGCAGTCTGGCTGTGTCAGTTTGCAGCGTGCAAACAGGTTTTGAGTGTATGTCAAAAGAGATGTCTCAAGGATGCTTGTTCCGAATTGGCCGGTTCGGAACTCCGCTAGAAACTGAATTACTCGGGAAGTAATTCTTGTTTTATTAAACTACTTGTTATGATTTCTGGCCAAATTTGGCCAATCAGAATTTGACACGTTTCTGAGTATTTACCAACATCCCTCAGAAAGCCACGTCCTCCTCAGATACAAAAATGTTTTAATCACTGTGAATGAGGATGGTTTAAAACACTTATGTGAGGTTAACCTTAACCTTAATTTGCATCTTATGAAGATGTGTATGAGTGTAGATAATGATTAACTTGTTAAATCAAACACATACTGATCATAAGATCTGCAATGGATCATTGTAAGAGCAGTATTCATTTCAACTTCATTTATTTAAGCACAGATTATTCAAACATTTCATTTAAATATCTTGTTCATTCAACCATATGATTAATTAACTTAGAACTTGTAAAGCCTTGTAGTATTTTATTTAGTTTTTATTTAGTACTTTTATTCAGAGTGAGGAACCCAGCAGTCGGGGCAGAGAGAGAAGGGCTTTTGCGGGAGACCTTGACAGTTTATTTATGTCTGCGTTGAAGAACGTTAAGTGAGCAAAAGGTTGATCTGTGCGTCTGGATCTTCCAGCTGATGTAACCTTGACTTTGCAGCTCTGGCGTGTATGAAAGGTTACTGTGTCAATTTGATGGTGAAAATTGACCCTTTTGATTCATTACACTACTTTCTCCTCCAGCTGACTTGTACTTCCTGATGCAGATTAATATGAGAGTATGACTTACAAAGCACTCATTCCTACTGGAAACCACTGCAAATGTAATTAATAATCGAGTGTTCCACAGCTTTAAGCAGCCTACTTTTGGAGACACATAGCTTCAGACAGAAAGTGTCTGCGATCTGGAAAAACGTTTTGGTGCTGCACCTGAATAACTTACAGGTGGCTATGTCATCTTTCTGCCACTTTTGTTGTTTTTTGTTCATTTTACCTCCTCCTCCCATCTTCGCCTCTATTTGGTCGAGGTTAAATTTACTGTACTTTGTCAATAATTAGAGGTTAATGCACAACTTTGCACTGATATGTTATATTCAACATAAATATGATATTAATATGTCAGACGGCACCGTATTCTTTATAAACCTTCTTGTTTTCTTTATCACCTTTGGAAAGGCCAAATTTATTTATTTATTTTTTGTTCTTTTCTTCAGAAAAATTCAACAGCTACTGCAGCTCACGTATAAATGAGCTTTTACTTGAATCTAGCTCACCTTCCAATGAGTCTGAACTGGATTAAATCTGAAGGCTGGTCTCAGACCAGAAACCATACAAACATAGGAAATCCAATTAAAATGTGTTTTAGAAAATCAGATGTATCATTATTAAACAGTATTTGTTGTTTAATCTTAGAATACACAAGACAGACAGTAGACTACACAACATATTAGCTTGAAACTTTTTTCCTGCTGAGGACAAAATTAAAACAACACGGTAAAGTCAGATTTCACAGTTTTTATTTCCTGACATCATTTCTGCCAAGTTGCATTACTGAAGCTGTGCTACAAGGTAAAAAAAAAGTGGTTAAAATTAGAAATGATAGACAATCTGTTGTTCTAATTTGACCTAAAACATCAGTTGATATTCAAATTAAAAAAAGTTCACAGACTAATGATTATTGCAATCTTGCAACTTTCTGAAAACAAGGCAGATTATTTACCTCTAGTTAATTAGATTTTTATCAGGTTTTTTATGTGACAGAAGAGGAAAAATCACCATTTGTTTGCATAGTTTGTTATTTATGAAGATATGCATCAAGCCAGAGATCTCCTGAAGTTTTCAGTGACCTGAAAAAGGGGAAAATGTTAGTAAAACAAGAAGCTGTTATCTTTTTCATATTGGAACCCTGACTTATACACCTGTGGATTATTACCTGACAACGTCAACCATGCCTCTCCACAGTGTTTTCATCCCGTAAGGAACACCGTGTTTCTCACATAGCTCTTTGACTCGTGGGGCCACCAGGCGGTAGTTGTGGCGTGGCATTCTGGGAAACAAGCTTGGGAAAAAAAGACAAGACATTTATTTTATATGAAATTATATGAATCTTTCTCATCTCAGAATATTATGAATAGTTTATAACGAAAATCTTTGAAAGGATTTTTAAATATATATGATCAAAAATGACCATTTGAAAAAAAGTTATTTATTATAATTATTTTGTAATTTAGTAATGCATGGTGCCGTTAAGATGATATGAATGGTTTCTCTCATTTACTAATAAATCTTGAGTGTGAAAGCAGCTCCTCCATCTTTCGCTTTGTGCTGCCTGTGTGTGCAGAAGTCAAATTCAATAATCAGAGCCCTGCTCAACTAAAGGCAGGGGAACCATAAACCTCCAACCTTATTTTTATATCGTTGACAAAAAGCACAGCAAAGCATAATTTTACCTTTAAAATATCTTTATCTTTATTCGTTTTATAAGAATTTCTATGTTGCATAGTTTGGAAAATTGGTCTTAAACACAATATAAAAAATATTTGAAATTGTTTGTATTTATTAAAATAAGGTTTGAAATTTAAATGCTTTTTAAATGGTATTCTATACTTTTTTAGAAATATTTGTTTGTGCTGCGATTCATCTGGAATGTAAGAATCCAAAAAGGTTCAAATGAAGGTAACTGGACTTACCCCTCCTCTCTGTCCCTGAGTCGTTAGCCTCTATTGTGAGGGAGTGTATTCAGAGTAGTTTCTGCTCATTAAATAACAACAGAAGCTACAGCTTAAAAGCTTGACTCTTCCATATTCTAGTCAGAATTGACCAAGCTCCTCGGATGGGAAGCTAAATGTCTTCAAGAAACCAAAGAAGTCCAGTTGCTTTCACTTGAACCTTTTTAGATTACCGTGACCTGGATGACTGAGAACCTTCACCAGCAGGTATGTAAGAATGTTCATAAACAGACATTTGGACATATTTAAACAGAAGAAAAGAACATATTGAATCACGATATATATTGTTACCGCTAGGGATGTTTGATATTATTGGTCTGCCATTAATATCGGTCCAATATCTGCATTCAAATTTAATATCAGAAAATATCGGTATTGGTTTTCAGTCTTTTAATAACCCAACTTAACACTAATTTCTTACCATCACGCTTAGAGAGAATGTGTTTCAGCTGCCGTTGGACACAAAATAAATAAGGCACTTTTCCTATTACTAACTTAAATTGAAGTAGTTGTCATTTTACAAAGAACTTTTTTAAAATTTAAGCATGCATGACAGGAGATAAGTTCTGCTTATATATAAATTTGTTTAGTTTTTATTTTTTGAACAGAGGGTGTACACAGCATATAATAGTATTGGTAGTTAATAGTTCACAGTATTGGTACATCGGATATTGGTTAAAAAGCTTATATCGATCTGCATCCCTAGTAACCACACAACCTTCAGATTAGAATGTGGTATAGATTTAAAGTCATATCATCCATTCCCATTAAAAGTTAAGAGTATATTGGTATATCAGTATATCGGATACCAGTCAAAAGTGAGTTTAACTGCAATGATTTAAGTGTGAGAAGCTGAAAATTGTTATGGGTTAAGATAAAACCATCACACTTACTGGTGTTCGATTTGAAAGTTGAGGTGTCCACTGAACCAGTCGTTGAAGAAGGACTGCTCAATGTTACACGTAGACAGCAACTAAAAGACAAAATGGATCAAAATGACAGCTATTACACAACCTTTTTATTTTTAATTTTTTTCATTTTTTTATTTATTTATTTTTCCTGTATCCTGATATATTACAGTAACAATTTTTGCTGAAAAGCCCACAGTAATAATTCATAGTGCCTTTATTGCCAACCACAGCCATTGGTTATGCGTTAAAAATGCCCAAGTCCATACTTGTGAAAGCACCATGTGAGCACCTGTGTGCGTACACACGCTTGTATATGTAAGGTTTCTCTATAGGAGTGTCCAATAGTGAGTGTGAGGGGACACAGACCTGCCCCCAAAGACACGTGGAAGATGGAGGAGTTCCAAGCCCCAGTGATCCAGAGGTCTACCACAGAGCGCAGAGACCCCAGGGAGACTGCCGTCAGGTCGGAAGCCAGTGCTGGCCAGTGCTGGCTGCTCTGCACTGGCTTCCGGTAAAATATCGACCTCAGTTTAAAATCTTAACTCTCGTTTATAAGGCCCTCCAGGGCAGTGCCCCCTCATACATTACTGCGCTTTTGAACAGGTATACCCCATCTCGGTCTCTTCGCTCAGCCGAGCAGGAACTTCTGGTGGTCCCCCGGTCGAAATTTCGATCGAGGGGTAGTCGTGTTTTTTCTATTTTGGCTCCAACTCTGTGGAACGAATTGCCACTGAGCATTAGGCAGGCACCATCCCTTCAAGTCTTTAAGTGTCATTTAAAGACTCATTTTTATCTGATTGCGTTTCAGCACTAGGGTCACTTGAATTGCCCTAACATTATGGTTTTAACTATTCTTCTTTTTAAACCGGATGCTTGATTTTATTTTGTCCGACATTTGTTTTTTTTTTATCGATTGGTCTTATTCCAATATCTCTTATCTGTAATGCTGTTTGCTTGCTATTTTACGATTTTATGTTTTATCCTGCTTTTATGCCCATGTATTGGGAATGTTTTTCTTTTAATGATGTTGTTCAGCACCTTGGGCTTCGGATAATGTTGTAGAAGGTGCTATACAAATAAAATTTGATTGATTGATTGATTGATTGAAAAGCCCCAACCCCCCTCCCGAGAGGCGCGAAGGATCACCCAAGAGGGGCCAACCAACAGGCCTAGGAGATAATAACGGCAAGCCCCAAGCCCATCCGCAGCCGCCCACTCCAGGCCAGGCCGAGCTCAGAACTCAGTGGCCCGGGACCCAAGGGCGCCTAATCGTGGCGGAGACCCAATAGAGCCCAAGGATCTAGACCCCACCAGGCAGCCACCAGGATCAAGCAAAGAGGTGCCAAAAACTTCCAGTCCCAGACACAAGAGCTGCAAATATGCAGGCAGACTGAGGCACTACCCACCGGCAGAAAATGTAGCAGGGGGAGGGTAGGCCTAGATATTGTAGCACCACAAGATGTCCCAGGAGAAGGGAGGAGTCCAAGACCCCACCTGACAGATACAGTCACATACCCCCACCATCATGCTCACACACAAACACATGCAACCTAAAGACAAACAAGAATGTACATCATACACCTACTCATGCTGCCCATACCATACTCGCTCAGGTACGGGTACTACTGCACAGAGGGCACAACCATTCCACAACCAGCCTAGATCCCCACTCAGATCCCTGCCTGAGAACGACCGCCCCCATATCCCAAGCCACCAGGCCCTCACTCAGACCCACCCAGGGGCGATTCAGCTCTCAGGCAGCAAGCGACCTGTGGCTGCACACACCCTTTTAGCTTATGAGACAGTAATACTTTATAAAAAGAAAACAAGGCACCTGCGTAGTTAGCCAGTCTTGACGCCTCTCATACTCGATCTCCATTGGCAGATGGTTCATCTGAGTCACCCACACAAACCAGTGACTTTCTAAAAACCTGTAAAAGAGGCAACAATCCAATAAGATGCACTAATTGGAATTTAAAAACAGTTAAACATCAAATCTTATTTTAGCAACAAATCTCCACAATTGTGTCAGCTCTATCACTGCATTATGAAACAAATTCAAGTCTGAGTAAATCTCCTGTTGGCACGTTTACCTGACAAACATCATGAGAGCTAATGAGCCCAAAAAGCCATAGAATGGTGTATAACAATAGAAGTAACGGATGTAGTACGTTGAGGCCCAAGCCAGATCCTTCAAAATAAAACATAAACCATTTCAATATCTCTTTAGGCAAAAGTATCGTAATTTAGCTTGATTTTTTATATATAATATAGTTCTGCAGCATGAATCTTTAGAAAGAACTGTATCTTACCACCCAGTCACGATGGGTAATCATGGTCTTCATTATATTAAAGTTGTAAAAAACTGGAATAAGTAGTGGTGGTGCCACTGTAATAGAAATACATTTGAGTTACTGTCAAAAAGTTCCTATTTCTGTTTTGTTTTTACTATTTTAACCAGACGTACCGAGAAAGAAGTACTGATGCTGGTGATTGTAGGGCATGTATTTGATCTTCTTAATGCCGTACTGCAAGAACACACCGAACAGAACAATGAGAGTAATATGGTTGTGGAGATTATTATTTTTTATGAGCTACTCACCTCCACAGGTTGAGTGTTTCCAAGTACAAAGATGTCTAACATGTAAATATCAGGATCCTTCATGAAAATGTTCGGTTTGGCATGATGTTGGAAATGTCGGTGGTTCCACCAGTTGGCTGAAGCTCCCTGAGAAAATGTATTTTTTTAATTTTTTTATTATTACTGTCTGTGTATATTTTATGGAAAATATATCATACTAAATGAACAACGGTTACCTTTAAATGTCCGATGACAAACTTGTGCACCAGGTGATTCCACTTGGACTTCTTGAAGACAGAAAGGTGACCGAAGTCATGCTGCAGCCATCCAGCCTGCGACTGATGAAGAAAAGGATGAATTAGTGTTTTAAAAGTACTTTATATCCTCAAGCACATTAGGAACAACATCCATCCGGTGTCGGGTCGCGGGGGCAGCAGCCTAAGCAGGGAGGACCAGACTTCCGTCTCTCCAGGCACTTGGGCCAGCTCCTCCAGGGAAATCCCCAAGGTGTTCCCTGGTCAGCCGAGAATCATAGTCCCTCCAGCGTGTCCTTGGTCTTCCTTTGGGTCTCCTCCCGGTTGGACGCGCCTGGAAACCTCACCAGGGAGGCGTCCAGGAGGCATCCTAGATGCCGGAGCCACCTAAACTGGCTCCTCTCTATGACAGAGTAACATTTATTTTTTTAAATTACCTGAGCAGTTGCCAGCATCACTGCACACAGTAAAGTCATTGTCCAACTTGTCCCCCAGTAGGAAAGCATCAGCCAGGCAAGGACCTCCAATAGCAGGATGTGACCCAAATGAAGGCAGAAGAACAGAGGCTTGGACTGAAACAGACCCTCCTTCTCCACCTGAGCTCGTAAATTTTCAAAATCCTCTACGATTGTAGCCTGGAAGAAGAAACAAAATATTATTAATGTTCTCAGTGTTTTTATTTGATTTTTTTAACTAACCAACAAAGCCAAAACCAGGGTAGGTGCTAGGAGAGGGTCCATGGTGGGTCAGTGCTACCCTGATAGCAAGCTTGGACCCCCCGTGCTACCCCTGCTGAGGCCAGATCCTAAACTTTAATAAGTACTGAATTCTGTGATAATTTAGCCAAATGTGAAATGAATTAAGAGTGAATTTAGCTGAAATAGAAAAAAGATGCTGAGATAAATATTTTAATATTGTCTCTGAGATAAATAACTTCGATAAAACAATTTTTGCAAAATATTTAAGTTTTGAACATTATTGAAAAGCTTTTGTATGTAAGGCAACTGTAAATAAATGATTATTGTATTATTGTAGTTACAAAATAAAATTTTAATTACCTAAAGATAATGTTTGTAGAGTTTTCTTCCAAACTCTCTCGAACAGAGCAGCCGGCCCCAGCCCTGCCGCCCCACTAATGTTAGTCTAGAGCCTCCGCTGAACCCAGCAGATGTGTAAATTATATGAAAAGACTCACATTTTTGTCTTGGTCTTGATTCGGTTCTGTTGATGCCAGCTCTCCAACCAGCAGAGGCTTCAAAAACTTTTGCACAAACTTTTGTTCTGGATGAAAAGCAGTGAACGCCTCCTGTGGGATGAAAAAGAAACAAATAATGCAGCAAAAGAAACATTACAGAAGTAAAACCATTCATCTTGCGTGATCCTACTTGGAATAAAAACACAACGTTGTTTCACGTTAAAGAACGAGAGTGACAGCTGTGAAATTTACAGAATGAACTTACAAAAGACGCTCTTCAGTTTCCTTTATTACCAGGGCCAGATTAATAATAATAATAATAATAATAATAATAATAATAATACATTTTATTTCAAGCGCCTTTCAAGACTCTCAAGGTCACTTTACAAGTGCAGGTACATACAAGAAAAAAAACACCAATACAAATAAATACATAAAATAATCAAGATAAAATAAAGGAGCTAAGACTAAATAAAAATGTAGGATCGGGGCATTTCGGTTGCTATAGGCCAGAGAAGGGTAGAGGAAGGAGCATAGTTATGGTGGATAAGCCGATCGGAACATATGAGTTTTGAGTTGGGACTTAAAGGTTGAAAATGAGTTCATATTGCGGATGTCAGACGGGAGAGTGTTCCAAAGTTTAGGGGCTGAGAAACTGAAGGCTCTCGCTCCAGTGTTACTGAGGTGAATACGGGGAACAGATAAGGAAATGGAGGATGATGATCGAAGCGAGCGAGCGGGAGTGACAACATGGATGAGATTAGAAATGTATGGAGGAGCAAGATTGTGGATGGCTTTGAAAGTGTACAGAAGAATTTTAAAGTCAATTCGGTATTTAACAGGGAGCCAGTGAAGTTGGTGCAAAGCAGGAGAGATGTGATTGTAGATGGAGGTCTTGGTGATTATACTGTGGCAAGGTGGAGAAACGAGGGCCCGGGCGGGATTCAATCCCCAGACTCCCGGGTGAGAGTCATGTGCGCTAACCAGTCAGCCAAAGGGACATCCCCTTGGCCAAGTAGCCAGGGCACAGGATCAATCAGGACACTGTGACAGGATGCTCACTCTGCCACATCTTCCCCGCTCTTTCTACAAGCACGTCCTCGTGCTCCCACGCAGGGTGCCACAAACTTCACATCCATTGACCTACTTGACAGTACTACATGGATCTTGCCGACAACGCCAAATGTGGCAAGGTGGAGAAACGAGGGCCTGGGTGGGATTCGATCCCCAGACTCCCGGGTGAGAGTCATGCGTGTTTACCAGTCAGCCAAAGGGACATCTCCTTGGCCAAGTAGCCAGGGCGCATGATCAATTGGGACACTGTGACAGGACGCTCACTCTGCCACAATACGGACAGTGGAATTATGGACTAGCTGAAGTTTATTGAGTGACTTTGGGGGGAGACCGGAGAGGAGGGCATTACAGTAGTCCATGCGGCTGGTGACAAGACTGTGAATCAAAATAGCAGCAGAGTGTTGGCTGAGGGAGGGGCGGAGTCGATTGATATTGCAGAGATTGAAGTAAGCAGTTTTTGTAATATTGTTGATGTGAGGGATCAATGATAAGTTGTTGTCCAAAATGACGCCCAAGCTCTTGCCTTTAATGGTAAGGTGTGGTGTTATCGAAGCTAAGTGAGAATGAACTCATCTTGGAGAGGGAGGACTTGGTGCCAGTGAGGAGGATTTCTGACTTGTCACTGTTAAGCTGAAGGAAGTTGGAAGAGAACCAGGATTTAACTTCAGAGAGACAACCGAGAAGAAACGAAAGGGGGAGCGGAGTGTTGGGTTTGGTAGAGAAATAGAGCTGGGTATCGTCGGCGTAGCAGTGGAAATTGAAGTTGAATTTATGGAAGATTTTGCTGAGTGGAAGTAGGTAAATTATGAAGAGAAGGGGGCCTAAGACTGACCCTTGAGGAACACCAGATGTGACTGGGGAGGGGTTGGAGCGGAAGGTGCGTAGCTGGACAAATTGAGTGCGATCTGATAAATATGATTTGAACCAGGTTAGGGGAGGTTTGGAAATGCCGATTGCAGAGAGCCTATGGAGTAAGACTGGATGTGAAATGGTGTCAAATGCTGCGCTAAGATCAAGTAGGATGAGAATGGAGATTTGGCAAGAATCAGCGGCTAGTAGGAGATCATTACTGATTTTTATCAGAGCTGTCTTGGTGCTATGTTGAAGACGAAAACCAGACTTGAAGACTTCATAGAGACAATTTCGGGATAAATGAGAATGAAGTTAGTTGGCGACAACTTTCTCAAGAATTTTGGAAATGAATGGTAGGTTGGAGATGGGGCAGAGGTTATTGAAATTGTTAGGATCTGAACCTGGCTTTTTTGAGAAATGGAGTGACAGCTGCGGTTTTAAAGGCTGAGGGTACAATTCCGGTCTGGAGGGAGGCGTGGATGATGGAGCAGATCAAGGGTAGCAAGGATGGGAGGCAAGATTTAACCAGGATGGATGGGAGTGGGTTGAGCTGACAGGTGGAAGGCTTGGATTTGCAAATTAAGTCTGAGATAGTGGAGGCATCAGGTACTGAAAAACAGGAAAATGATTCAGTGAAGGTCCAATCATCAGAGAGAAGTGAGTGGAGGTTGGTTAGACTAAGACTCTGGTGGATTTTGTATATTTTCTGGTTAAAGAAGGAAAGAATGCTGTTACAGGTGTCAGTAGAATAAAAGTGGGGTTGGGTGGGAGGTGGGGAGGAGGAGACTGAAAGATTTTGTGGAGGGGAGAAAAAAGAGTTGTAGAATTTCCACTGTTGGAGTAGATGAGACCAGAGTAGTAAGCTGACTTAGAGAAGGTGATAGAATCCTTTTAGCGGGTTAAGTGGGCAGTGTGCATGTCTTTGTGAACAAAAAGTCCCGTTCTCCTGTAGAAACGCTCCAGCCGTCGGCCTTCAGCTTTCAAAGTCCTAAGATCAGGGGTTAACCAGGGGGCAGAGGTAGAGAAACTGACAGAACGGGTTTTTAATGGAGCCAAGGTGTCAAGGATGTTAAGTAGACTGGAGTTCTGGTGGTCAGTCAGTTCATCAGGACAGGGAAGTTTATCAGAAAAGCTAAGGGATAAGAGTTGGGATGAGAGAGTGTCCAGATTAATGTCCTTAATTTTCCTAAAGTGAATAAGATGGGTAGTCTTGGTATGACAGAGAGGGAGTTGAACAGAAAGGGAAAGAAAGAAGTGATCAGATAAATGGAGATCAGTAACTGAGAAGTCGAGAGGAGTGAGACCGGAACAGCAGATTAAATTCACAATAGGTCCTTTAGTATGGGTCGGTGTGTCGATGTGTTGGAGAAGTCCATGGCTGTGGAGACAAGAAGAAAAGTCTTTGGTGATGGGGAGAGTGTAATTGTCCATGTGGATATTGAAGTCTCCCAGCAACATTAATTTGGAAGATAGAGTGGAGAGATGGATGAGTAGAGAAGCTAACTGGGACAGAAAGTCAGGATAGGGTTTAGGTGGACGGTAAATAACAGCAAAATGGTGGGAATTGGTCCAGGGAGCTGGAACGCCAGGCATTCCATAGAGCTGAGCGCAGGAACAGGCACAGGGAGGACTTTCCAAGTCTCACGGTGTATAACCGCGAGACCACCTCCTCGTGATCTGCGGGACTTAGAAATGTAAACATAGCCTGGTGGAGTAGTGTCGTTCAGTGAGGAGAAGTCGTCGGGATGTTGCCACGTTTCGACCAAACAGAGAAAATCCAGATTGTTGTCCGAGAGGAGATCGTGGATATGATGGCCTTTGTTCGTCAGGGAGCGGATATTGAGCAGGCCAAAGTTGGCGGCGGAGGAGGGCTGCAGGCCAGCTGGAGCATTAGCCGTCCTAGCTGGGTAGGCTAACGCAGAGTGGTTGACGCAGCGGGGAGGCCTCCTTGGAGGGCGATGGGTTGCAGACCAGAAAGAGTGAGGAGGATTATGACCGTTGAGGTTGTGACTTCTGCGGGTGCCCCGGTGTATGTATCTCCGCCGGGGAGGTAGGACAATGTCGGGGCACTGAAGCAATACAGGTGGTGGAGGCCCGGCGTGGGAGGCCCGGAGTCGGAAGAACTCAGGGGGAACGTATTGATACAGGCCAGTCACCGGACGAAAACAGTCAGGAAGGAGGGCAAAGAGGAGGACATACAGAACGGCGTTCTTGATGGCCCACATTACGGTTGGCTCGATCCGACAGACGGTTGGAGTCTGGGTGGGCAGCAGGTAGGCTGATCACTGTGTCTCCAGGGTCCACGGGTGTGGTAGAGCAGGTGGCTGAGTTACAACGTGGGAAGGTTGTAAAATCAATGTTAAAAGCCAGATAGTCCAGGTGGTAGAGTCGTAGAGTCGATCCTGACACTGAAGATTTATTGTGGACTCACAACATCTAGGAGCCAGTACAATCAAAGCTCAAAGGGTCCGGTGAGCAGCAGCAGCCATTTACGACAGTGTCCGCTCCGTCCGGAAGTCAAGATTAACACTGTTGTACCCTGGGCAACAGTATTCAAGGGCCCCATCAACACGACCCAAGGATCACCATAATATGGTCACATACAGAATATTTTACTGTAATATGCAGTAAATATGCGCAATACTTGAATGCCTGACGTCACGTAACCCGCTCAGGGTAACCTTTGACCCACCTCGTGTGGACTGACCAATGAGGAGAGGGTCTTAACTTGAGGCCCTTTCTTCATTGGTTGGTCTGCATGAGACTGACTCTCAGCTGACGTTCAAAGTCATAGGCAGCAAAGTGTCTCTGTGCAGCGCAAAAGCCTGGGTGGACAGTTTGTTTAATATAGGGTGATCATATTTCCATTTCCAAAAAAGGTGACAGGGGATCTGTGCCTATGATGTCACACTATGGCAACGCCACACAAACCACGTTGAGACCCATTTTTTTGTAAGAACTAAAATTAATATCAGCTTCTGCCAATAAAAGGGTTCTAAAACAATTCATATGTAAATATTTAGCATATTTTTTGCAAAATCTACTTTTTCTGCTTTGGTGCTGCAACAAGGTTTTATTAATAATAAATTATTATACCTTTTGTTTTACCACAGCATTGGTAAGCTTCCTGTGCACAGATTATTAAGGAAGCTTGTTTCAGCTGTGAGATTAGACGATAGGGTCAATGATGAAAAAAGTTGTCACAGACTCCATGGAAACTTTCAGAGAATACACAAATAGTGGCTTTCAAATGGTTTTGTTATTTTTTGCAAGTTTAGAAAAGCAGCAGATGAGACAGCATGTCTGATCATTTAGTTTTTCATCTGATAATATTAGAACATGTCGGTGATGTCTGAGGGGCTTTTACAAACACTGTATAACTAATACTCCTGGACAGGGTAGGAATTACAGAGGCTTCTGGGGGCTCAGTTTTAGGGGTGGGGGGTGTTTTATGCCTTGTCCCCCAAAATGCCTTGAAACGGCCCTGGCTGTGTGACTGAGTTTTGAAGGTGATCTTAGTTGTATCAAATGTATAAATATTACATGTTTATAACTTGTTGTTTTTATACGAGTAAAAACGTGTAGTGGAGATAAATCTACCTACATTTTACTTTTCAAAACTTTGTTTAGTTTTCTTGTTTTTATTTAACAATTTCCTGTCCTGTCTGTCCCTCATCTTCCTGCATCTCCTCTAAACTCTCCAGAAAATCTTCTGCCTGGATTCTTACTTTTTCACCTCATCAGTTACTTTTGAGCAGATCAAAGGGATCTCCTGACCGCAAAGCGGAGAGCGTGTTTTGATGCTGCGTCAGTGAGGTGACATCACCGCAGCACAGGTGATGAGCTCCGCAGTAGCAAAGCGCTTCAGGCACAAATATGACAGAAAGTAGAGAACATGTGCGGACATGAACAATCGTGTGTTAATTATAGTTTTTGGGTTGCGCCACTTTATGGACCGTGCGCTGGATGCAGCTGCCTGGAGTGCACCAACGAACAGAGCTCTGCCGCTCTCTGTGCTCTCCGCTCAAAAGAACCCCTGGTAGCTGAGAGTCCATAAATGATGTAATATAGGTAGAAACGTTTTTTCCAGCTCTCCCTGGATGTGTAGGATATCCAGCTCCCCCATAATTCGATCCCTGCTCCTGGATGAAAAATTTCATGGATGACATTTTCATCAATACAAGAACCCCCCTGGACGCCCCGGACAGAGAGTGAAAAGTGGACATGTCCGGGGAAAAGAGGACGTATGGTCACCCTACATTAAGATGGAGATTACAGATACAGTATTTTGCTCGTGCCCTTGCTGCCCTGGGCCTGGGCCCTTTAGAGTTTGTGGACGCCTGGGCAATTGCCCAGTTGCCCATATGGTTAATACAAACGGCCTCTGCAGAAGAACCAGGTTTGGGCTAACCTGTCTGCTATAATTAGTAGCTCTCTTCTTCCGGCACTCGTAGAGTACAGACGCTTCTGCTTTTGCTCCCTTATCTTTTTTCCCAAGGCTCTTTGTCCTGTCGGCCTACAGAGCGCTTCTCTGCATTTCTTCTGGAAATCCCTATTTTTTAGAAATGGATTTAATTAATTGGTCATTCAACGTGATTGATACGATTTTTTTCTACGATGAGAACGGAGGAGGGGGCTCCCAATTGCCCGCAAGGGACACACGCAGCGGGATATGCGCTCGATTCCTGGAAGGTGTGGAGGATCGTATGTCTCTCTCAGCTGTCCATTGAGGACGTAGAAGATATGTGGATATTTGGCCTGATGATGACTGGATTTCTTCTGATTGGAGTGGGAGGATATCTGGTTTTCTGGAAATTTGGGAAGACGGGAGCGATTGGAGGGCGACCCGCAACCATGGGAAGCACCACACGGGCGGCGACCTCACAGACTGGGACGTTACTCAAGGTGAATCGTAAGCTGGACAATGTCCTAGCTGCGTTACCGGTGTTAGTGCGCAAAACGGATGTCATTTCGGAGAGGGTCACCGGACGGTGTGGAGATGTTTAAAACCTAAATTGGCTTCACTGAAGGACTGGAATGACCAGTTACAGACTGAAGGCAGAGAGGAAAATTATCTCTGCCTGACCCAAACAAAGTCTTGCTATCCAAATCTGATGCCAAGGCAGCCTTCAAGATGCCAACAACAACAACCCCCACGAAGGAAGGAATGCACAGATGATGTGAAACCCACCCGCCTTCAGATTGTGGACTTCTGCCTAGCGAGGTCATCAACCTGCAGGGTCAATGTGCTCTGCGTTCCTCCCAAGATCTCCCTCCCACCTGTGGTCTACAGTGGTTGAGCGCCGTACATGCCGTACATGGCTGCTCTCGCTGGGGGAACCAGGATCCCAGCCCCCCCCTGCCTTCCTCTTGTGATGTTGTGTTGTGTTATCTGTTGCTTGTCTGTTGAGGTGGGTTTTTTTTTTCCGCAGAGCAAAGCTGCCCTCCTGGGGGGAGAGTAGCTGTGAAGTGCCTTTTTCCCCCCTCCTCCCGAATCCATTCCTCGTGTTATCCTTTTCTCTCTCTATTAAGGTAGCGCGACTCAGTTGCGAATGACCACAGTCACCAATTCTTGTCATGTGTCTTGCCCAGTATGTCTGATCTCTGAATTGTGTGTACTGAAACTCTAATTTCCCTTCCCTGGGACAAATAAAGCTTTTCATTCATTCTTTCATTTTCATTTCATTTTCATTCTACCATTACACAAATTAATTTACTCTACTATTTCACTGAGGGGGTTTATTATGTGTCACAGTGAGCTGTTAAAGTGCTTTCTGAGCTATTCAAATAATTAGGAAGCAAAACTTTACCAAGTGAGGAAACGGTATGTACGGTACAAGTGTTCCTTTAAAGTTTCCTATCTGATTATTGAATGTTTTGATGATTTTTTTATTTTATAAGTTGCATTTTGCTGTTGTATTGAATCAAAGTTGAGTCTGTGTAAAATGGAGCATACCTACTTGGGTCATTTTGTGGTTTCTGGTGGTTTGAAACACAAAACAATCAATGAATCTAAAAATAAAAGAAAAATGTCAAAAATAAATACATTTTCAGTCAGATTTTCTTTGTTTTTTGGCATAATATTAGCAAAGAAACACAACTGAATCTTTTTTTTTTGGACACACAAAAATACCCACTTGGGATTGCTATCACTATACAAGCTGTTACTACACAAATCCAAATACTCTCATTCAATAATAAAGTCAAGAATAAACACAGAAAGATGGCCATGTACAGACATTATTTAACATTTACTTAATTATATTTAGTTTTAGGACAACATTTTTACAAAATCTAGTCACATTTCAAATATCTGTTTTTGTCAAAAATATGTTCTTTTTATTCAGAAAGTAGTTATCAGAGTTACTTTAAAGATTTCTGCCATGCACTGCAGAAAGCGATGTGTTTATTGAAGGTCAATTACATGTAAAAATGCCAGTCAAAGGTCACAGTGCAGTTTCAGATATCTATTATGACTTTGCTATTAGACATAAAATTATGTATAACTTATTCTTACGTTTACTTCCATATATGCAAAATCTATGTAGAGTGATAGATTCTGAGTACTAATGTATTGAGTATAATAGTCTAAACTGCAAATAAACCTGTTCAAAGGTTGCTTTACACAGCTGATAAATGTGATTTGTCTAGTAAAAAATAAGTTTAGGATGTGAGACATTAAACACTTATTCTGTGATATGTTTGGTAAGGAAAAGTTTGAATTATTCACCATAATAATGCATGAGCAGTCTGGCTAATAAGTGTTGAAATGGCTTGCCACACATCTGGCTGGAACCTTCATGGGAATTGTGGAGAAAGATTTAGAAATCTTAATGAGGTAGAATGTGCTGATATTTTAGATGCAGTATTTATATAGTATTTAATGTATGTTTAAACTTAAGCCAAACATGCGCATGTGGTAAAACAGCAGGACAATCAGTTTTATCAACAAAACTACAATAAAAGGAATAAATGCATTTTTAAAGCTGTATCAGGACATTTATTTAGAGAGTGGGACTATATTCACCGTAGCATCCTCTCCAGAGTAGTGACTGATGACCCGGAACCCTCCTGGATGCCTTCTGGCCCACTGACTGATGTTATACACCTTCCTGTTGATGACCAGCCACTGATCGTTCTTGCTGCAGTGTCTCTGGACCTCCTCCCAGGTGTAAACACCTGTCCCCTTCGCGCTGCCCGGTTCAACCGGGTCATTCAGCTGACCTCCACCTCCCATCCTCTCTGGTCCCTGTCTGGATCCGCGCGCACTCTAATCCAGTCCGTTCCAAAGACGCAAACCTGGATGCAAAAACACGGAACTGAAAACAAGTCTGCTTCTCGTGAATGTTGCACGAATTATTTCATGCAAAGGAGTGATCATACATCAGTGAAACCCGAGCTGTAGGAATCAGCTGTAAAATGAGACAAAGGGCTGGCTGCTCTTTGTGACGCAAACATTTCACACTTACAGCATCCAGACTCGGACTCCTCTCCTTGGACTTCCGTCTCATACAGCTCGGGTCGCGGTCGTTCTTGGCTCGGTTCGGACCCTTTATAAAAACCAAGCAGGCTCTCATAAAACCCTACCTCCCTGATAGGCCTCGTCGGTTCGCCCCCTCCGTCCCGTCGAACTTCGAGCGGATCTTTCGAGGATTTCTGGCCAATCAGCGAGCAGCAGGTCTGGCTTTTTGGACTGCAGCCTCTGCTGGACAAGATGCTTTATCTGAATATTAATCAAACGGGAAGCAGTCTGTAGAGCCCGCCTACAGATTAAAAAGTGCTTCTGGTTTCAGAGAGAAGGAAGCAGGTCACATTAGAGGAACAATGGGTCACTAGAGTTCAGCTGCTCTGCTCCAGCTGCTCCTGACACCATTTATTCTGCTGATTTTACACAGATTATTTTAGACTTGATTTTTTACTTGATCAGAACCTACAGGATTGTAGCAGAACACTCTTAGAGAAGGAAATGCTGTTCTGAACGTTTGCTTCCTCTTACATAAGATGCAGATTACAGCTTGCTTCTGAGCTGATGACACTTTTCACCTTTTGACAGCCACGTTTTCATTTAGCACCCACTACCACGTAATAGAGTTATTTATTTATTTATTTATTTATTTATTTATTTATTTATTTATTTATTTATTTATTTTCAGCTGTACTGGTTTGTGTAAAAATAAATCACAGGTAACTTGGGACCCAAACAGATTCCTACAGAGAAAGTAATTTATTGATTAGTTATGTAAGGGGCACACATTTGCGCTTGCAATCTGCAGCACCAATCTCCTCCACTAGAGGGCAGAATACATTTGTAGTTTTTGCATCCAACAGGTTTTTGAGGAAAGTACTAATCTTGTTAATGAGACAAAGATCTTACATGAGTATCAGACATGACCTCTTTGGCATTCAGAGACCACATTTAATCATTCAGTGTCACTAAGTTGTCTTAAAGGGAAATGTGTTTATAGCGGTTTGCTAACAACTTGTGCATCTGTCCATGAAATCAGGTTTCTTTCCTGGCATCTTTCAGCCAAGGCTTACAGCTGTGTTTCATCATAATGTAGTCCTAAGTCGAAAATGGCACCTGTGATTCCTTTATGTTACTAATTATTTTCACCTGCGGTCAGTCTGATTATTCAGGTCACCACAGCATGCAGACTTGGGATCACTACTGGGTGATTTTAAGGACTTTTTACTGAATGCTAGTTGGATCCATTCACTTACTGTGTTTTATGCTAAGCTAAAGGAGCCGGTTCAGGAGAATTGAAAGCTAAAGGAGCCGGTTCAGGAGAATTGACTGGGCTGGTTAAAACTATTTTTTTAATTGACTTATCTAATGCTGGGAAATATGTCAACAGACATAATTTTAATTTTGAATGGAATATCCTCTCAATTTTCTGTGTGTGTGTGTGTGTGTGTGTGTGTGTGTGTGTGTGTGTGTGTGTGTGTGTGTGTGTGTGTGTGTGTGTGTGTGTGTGTGTAGGTGTGTGTGTGTGTGTGTGTGTGTGTGTGTGTGTGTGTGTGTGTGTATGTGTGTGTTATTTAAAATCACCTCACATTTATGACCACTTTTTGTCAGTATTTTTCTTGTTTTCATGGTAATTCTCTTTCTTTGCTGTTTTTATTCATTTAAAAATTTAGTTTTGTGAGAGATATTCAAATTTGACCATAGGATTTTTTCAATCATTTCTTGACTTTCAATTAATTTTCCTCAGTTTATCTACCAGATTCTGCTGTTTTACTTCCTAAATTTGTGTGTCATGTACAGATAGGAAGTATCTGTTTTCTCTCCGGTTACGAAACATTTCTGTGGGAACTGCATGCTGCTTTGATGCAACTTTGTGTCTCTTGTTTGCATCATGGTAACTTTTTGCATATAGTGTAGCTGTGTCTTTGGTTTATTAAAGTAACTTTAGGTCCATTTTGAGCTGTTTGTGTTTTACTCTTTAGTCACTTCTCACTCTTGTCTTGTGCACAACAGAGCTTTTATAGCACTTTATCAACTTCTTATTTAGATATCTGATCTATAAGTCTCCTAAGTCTGTGATTTTCATGCTGCATCAACACAAACAGGACTTTCTCCTTCATACGTTTTACTGTGATATTTAGATCCACACTTATCTTACATGACAAGTTCTAAACATGTTTTTAGAAAGTAAAACCCTTGTCAGAGAAGGGGATCAGTTGCTTTTATAAAGTTTTAAACATTCTGAGCAGTAACTGTTTCTTGAGTTGGTAAGAGGAGAAGTTTACAGTCAGCGGGACTTTTGGAGTCAGCAGCAGCATGACCTAAATTCCTGCAGCAAACATTCCTTTGGGAGTTTTTGTCCTGTTCTTTTCACTAAAGCGCTGCAAGATAAAAACATTTAGGTGCTGCAGAAATGAAAGGTTGCCGGTGTTGCATCGAACAGAAAGGTTTGCTCTTCTCTGCTTTGTGTTGTCTAAACATAATCTTTCTTCAGTCAAACATCAGGTTTCTACAGGTTCATCTGAAGGATTAGGCTATCAGGGACAAAAGCCGCAGTTTTAGTCACTTGTGGAAGACGAGAGACATCTGACCCAACAATGCAGATAACCTGAAGACTGCTCTTATTCTTTTCTTTTGAACAACTTTGTCTCCAAAGCTCATGTCACAGAATTTCGATTCTGATTTTATTCACTAAGTGGAAATTAGTTACAGCTTCAAAAAAATATAAAAGTATTTGATATTTTTCTGCCTTTTTTGGGTCACACATGGAATTCCACCTTCCCAGTCTTCATCATTACAACAAGAGTCAGGAGGTGCTGGATCCAATTACGGTACCTGTCTGCCACACTGCCTCCATCCCCCATGGAAAAGTAAAACAAGCTCTACCAGAAACACTCCCGCATCTTCTGGACTCTCACCTGTCAAACTAATCCTCCATCATCCTCTACTTTCCAAGACTCCAAGATCAAATTTGTAAGGGTTTATGTCACATTTTATGAAAATTTATTGTGACTGCTTCAGTATAACCAATAATGCAAAACAATCAGTTAGTTTTTTATTATAATGCAGAAAAAACAACGTTTTTAGTACTCATTTACAGTTTTTCTTTATCAGCATTTAAAAAGGGCATTATTATTGAAATGTTTTAACTGGACAAATTTCTTAAAACAAATCATGCACCAGTTTTACTTCAAAAACCGAGAGCTCAAAAGAGTTTCTAGCTCAAAAGTTTCTAAATAGATTTTCAAAGTAAAATAAATCAGTCTTGTTTTGATGCAACCTAGAATTCATCACAGCTAATCATTTATGGAGATACGCATCAAGCCAGAGATCCCCCGAGGATTTCAGTGAGCTGAAAGGACAAATGAAAAACAAACACATAGGTTATCAACAGTCAGTTCATCTGGAATGACAGAAGACAAACTACCTCATGAGAAAGTTGTATTCATGTCTTAACGAAATGAATGTTTTCTTTTCTCAGCCTGGTTGGATTAAGGAGTTTTAAATGTGCCTCGGAGTTATCACCTGACAACATCAGTCATGGCTTGCCACAAGGTTTTCAGCTGGTAGGGGATCCTGTGTTTCTCACACAGAGCACGGACCCGCGGAGCCACCAGGTGGTAGTTATGGCGCGGCATCCTGGGAAACAAACTACAAAGAAAAGAGATCAAAGTTATCATTTGAGCCCAAAACTAGTGCCACAGCAGTTTGCTAAGAAAGAAAGAGCCTCTTTTTTTCTCACTATTGAGCCTTTATTTCAAACATGTGAAAAGAAAGTAAAAAAAATAATAAAAAAAACACATAATAATCAAAATATGCTAATGGAAATAAATAAAGAATACAGTAAAAATGAGAAATCATAAAAATTCAAGAGTTAAAGGGGCCATATAATGGAAAATCCACCTTTTGGAGCGTTTTACCATGTGATATTGTTATTTCCTCATGAAAAAAATAATATACCCTTTTTTTGCTGCATTCATATTTTTTTTCCATTTCAGCTGCAAATGTTGAGTTTAATTTTGAAAATCTTGTCAAGCGTCAATGGAAACTAATCTTGTCATCTGGCCCTGCTCATCTCCTGGAAGCTAGTCTCTGGTCTTAAACCTGTCTTCCCTTGCCAGTAAAAGATACTTAAGCGACTTGTGTAGTGTAGAAGACTTCGTAGTCCAGTAGTCACCAGGCAGATATCTTAATTTCTGGACTAGCATAGCCAATATTATGTACCTGCCTAACACGCTGTTGTAGGCACATTTTGACGGAGCGACCATAGGTGGAGTTTCCCTGAAATGAAGCATTTTATTTTCAGGTATAAATTCAGGCTGACGAAATAACTTGTATTTAAGATAAATGACATCTCAGTAGAGCCAACAGTAGTATTTTATCATATACTGTGTCTACTTATGTTCAGAGGTTTAAAATAGCATGATATGGAACCTTTAAATAATGAATTTACACCTAAACTACTTGAAGTAAAATAATGGATTTGTGTGGTTCCTAAATCATACGATGTTACAGTTTTGCCATCATTTCATTACATTTGCTTTTTTTTGACTAACCATGTTGCATTTTTATTCTGGTGTTTGTATTATATACAGGTTCACTTTTTTCTATGGCCTAAAAACATGTCAAGTTTGCTGAAAGCTATAAATAAATAGAAAAGCACCTATAGGACGGTGAAGCTTCCCTGCTGGACTTGGTACCAATCTGTTTTTGCCAGTAGTTTCATCCACGAGGTAAAGGGTCACCAGTAAAACGAATGGGGGCAAGTCGCTTCAGTGAGTTAGTATGAGTCTCCTTATTATTCAGGCTCTTATAAGTACCATCCATCCAGGGTCACGAGGAACAGGTTACCCTATCAAAGTATCAGTTATGTATGAGATCATGGTTTTTCAGGGGAAGCCTTGATAGATGGTTCCTCCTCCCAGGAATCACAGGATCAATAGCCACTGACCTCTAACTCTGATAGAGCTGATAATGAGTGCACTGATTTCTAGAGCAGTTATTCTTTTCCCAGAATATTTTTAGCTTGTAAGCAGAAATTCAAAAATCAGTTGTTTTATTCTGTATTTATTCAAAAACCATAAACATGACATATTTATTAGTTAGAAAATAAGATTTGTTGTTGTTTTACTGTTTATGTTTTGCTGTTTCGTAATTTTCAGAAGCAACCATCAGACTTACTGGTGTTCGATTTGAAAGTTGAGGTGTCCGCTGAACCAGTCGTTGAAGAAGGACTGCTCAATGTTACATGTGGCTTGTAGCTGGAAGAGAAGATGGTAAACGGTAACAGTATGTTTCTGTTTTTGTAAATGATCTATATTTTATAAGTTTGCTCCACTTAACTTTTCACAAAGTGGAGTGAATGACATTGATCAGATGCGTTTGAGTGAATGTTCAAATTTATAATCTGGGACATTGGTTCCAAATGTTGGGAATGGGATTCCAATTTCAGTTATGAAAAAACAAGTAGGGTTTAGAACTGATCTCCAGTAATCACATTACCTTTAAAAGTACATTTTTGTTTTTTATAAGAAAAAAGATTCTGATAGTCATAAGTGGAAGAAATACACATAAGTTATGTATCAATACACACACACACACACACACACACACACACACACACACACACACACACACACACACACACACACACACACACACACACACACACAGACCCATCTACTTCTGGACCATGGGGCCCCAGAAATAAGATAAAAATGAATGCAAGTCAATGGGGCTATAAAAGCTAGTTTATAATCCTGTTTGTTATGTGCCATGGATTTTGTATGATGTCCGTGAATTTTAAAGACACATTTTGATGCCAAGAAAGTGCTTATTTTCAAAGGGTGATGAAAGTTATTCTAGGTTCTGTGTGAAAAGATGTACAGGACTACAAATGTTCGTCTCATCATATTGATGCAATTAAACCAGACACAGAGAACAAAATGACAGAGATTTTTTGCCAGCTTTGAATCTTTCTTCCAGGATGACAGAAGGAGCATTAAATGTGGGGAAAACCAAAGCAAACAATCTGGCCATGTGGTAAGTGAGATTCAAAAATAAAAAATTTACTAAATTCTAATTTTATTTGTCACATACATAGTCAAACACAGTAAGAAATGCAGTGAAATGCTTATACGACCGCCAGTGACTTTAAAAAAGAGAAATACTACAGACAACCAGTTTAACTTGTAAATTAAACTGTACAATAAGGGCATGATAAAAATATTACAAATATGAAAATATAGAAGAAGATAAATAAAATGTATATATATAAGATTTGAAAGTGGCAGTGGTTTGTGAAAACATACATGAAAAGCAACTTATTAAAGTGACTTATGCAATGGTCCAAATATATAAAAATATAGTGCAAGTGTGTATGAATGTGTCCATGATTGTCCAGTCAATTTCAACGTTAGAACTTTAAAAAGATATTATTAGACCTGTGCGGTGGTGTGACTGAGAGACCTTATCACCTGAAGGAAGAAGCTCCTTCTCAGTCTCTCTGTGTTGGCCTTCAGGAAGCGGAATCGCTTCCCAGACCGCAGCAGAGAGAACAGTCCATTGTTGGGATGGCTGGGGTCCTTCATGATCTTCCTGGCTCTGGTCCAGCACCGCTTGCTGTAGATCAAGTGCAGGTGCGGATGACGCGCTCAGCTGATCGTACCACCCTCTGTAGAGCTCGTCTGTCCTGCATGGTGCTGTTTCCAAACAGGTAGAGATATTTACCGTCAGGATGCTCTCTACGGTGCAGGAGTAGAAATTCCTGAGCACCCTGGAGGACAGTCTGAAGTCTCTCATGCATCTGAGATGGTAGAGATGCTGTCGGGCCTTTTTAACCACAGTGTTGATGTGACAGGACCATGACAGGTCCTACGTGATGTGAACACAGAGGTATCAGAAGCTGTCCACTCTCTCCACTGGGCTCCCGTTGATGACGGGGGTCTGGTAGTTCATCTCCTGCTTTGTACTAAAGTTCACAATTAGCTCCTTTGTCTTGCTGACGTTTAGGAGGAGATTGTTCTTCTGGCACCAGTTCTCCAAATTTCCAATCTCCTCTAAGTAGGCCAACTGATCGTTGTTGGTGATCAGGCCCACCACGAGTGTCGTCAGCAAACTTGATGATGGCGGTGGAGTCGCTAGTGGCTACGCAGTCGTGGGTGTACAAAGAGTACAGCAGGGTGCTCAGATCACAACCCTGGGGAGCTCCAGTGCTGAGAGTGAGTGAGGCTGAGACATGTCCGCTCATTCATTGTTGGTTCTTTTTTAAAACACAAAAAAGTTTTCTTTTTTACCTTGCTGCGGACAGTTTCGTTCGCGCCTGCGAACTTCCTCAGAGCTGACGCTGATGGTGGCGTCACTTCCTACTCCATTTATTCGCAGGCAGCAGAGGACGATGTCTCCCCTCTCCGATGATGCGCATGAGACTGCAGTAGTGATGAAGCGCTCAAAGCACTTCATCACCACTGACGTGAGGGCTACATGGCGATAGTCATTGAGAGAAGCAGGATGTGGTTTCTTTGGAATAGGAACGATGATGGACTCTTTAAAGCATGTAGGGATCACATGTGGCTGGTCATCAACAGGAAGGTTGATTTAGGGAGTGAGATAAAGAAATGTTGAATATCTCTGTGAACACAGGTGCTAGCTGGTCTGCACAGGCTTTGAGAATACGGTCTAAGATGCCATCTGGTCCTGCTGCTTTGCTGGTGTTCAATCTCTTAAAGGCTCTCCTCACGTCATGCTCGGTGATGATGAGCATGTTCCCGGTGCCGGCAGTTCCTTCCTGTCTGCAGCTGTTACCACCGCTAGCATTAGCATCACTAGCGTCTTTAGCTGCAGCCTTGAAGCGAGCATAGAAGGTGTTCAGCTCGTCCACCAGAGTCGCATCCTCGTTCATCATGCTGGTTGTTGGTGTTTTATAGTCTGTGATTATCCTTAATCCCTGCCACAGGCTCCTAGAGTCACTCTGTTGAAGCTGTGACTCTAGTTTCCTCCCATAGCGCTGCTTCACCTCTTTTACCGCCTTCCGGACGTTATAAGACGCAGCCTTGTACGGTTCCATGTCCCCCGACACAAGTCCCGTGTTATAGGCAGCAGTGCGAGATCTCAGAGCGTCGCGGATGGTTTTATCCACCCACGGCTTCTGGTTGGGAAACGTTCTGATAGTCTTTTTCTCCACTGTATAATCCGTTAGTTTCCCAATGAATCCAATGAATGTCCTCTTCTGTAAACACACTAACATCATCGGAGCTGTTTCTGAACATGTCCCAGTCTGCTTCCTCGAGTCCGTCCAGCGCGCGACCTCCCTCTAAACCGGAACTTCCTGTTTCAGCCTTTGTTTGTATTTCAGCATGAGGAATATGGCGGCATGGTCGGATTTATCAAACGGTGGACGAAATTGTGCCTTATGCCTACACTTACAGTCTTTGACTGTAGTGTAGCAGTGATCCAGTCTCCTTTCACCCCTGGTGGAGCAGGTGATGTGCTGGTAGAAGTTCAGCTCTGCGCGTTTGAGGTTGGCACTATTAAAGTCTCGCCACGATAAGCGCAGCGTCCTGCTGCTGTGTCTGCTGCTGTGTAAATGCCTCATGCAGCTCGCATAAGGCAGCGTCCGTGTCCGCTTGTGGTGGAATGTAAACAGCACTTATTATGACCGATGTGAACTCCCGGGGAAGATAAAAAGGATGACACAGGATGGACAGTAGTTCCAGATTTGGTGTGCAGGAATGTGTAAGAGGAACAACGCTCACGTTGTTGCACCAGCAGCTGTTCACCATTAAACACACGCCACCTCCCCTTGACTTCCCCGAGTCTGGGTGAAGTCATAAGCGACGTCTCATTCGTAGTAATTTTTTTTACAAACTTTTACAAGCTAACAAATCTCAAAATACGTGAGACATAAGTCGAAACTCACATAATCTCTTTTCATTTAATTCAGAGAGTAAGTCAAAACGGATTATAAAATAGCTTTTATGGCCTCATTCACTTGCATTCCTTTTTTCGTTGTTCCGGGGACCCTTGAGCGGACCGGAAGGGGAGGAGACTTATTGATGAAAACAGAATAAACTCATAACCGTGACACGCCTGTGTCACAGCAGAGAAACTCTGATCCTAAATCAGATACCTGCATGGTCAGCCAGTCTTGGTGCCGCTCATAATCAATGTTCATTGGAATATGGTTCATCTGAGTCACCCACACAAACCAGTGACTCTCCAAAAACCTGGAAAAAAAGATTGTTAAACTGTGTGCCTGAGAGCAACAGGTATTGTTTTTGTGTTTATATGCTTGCAAATGTTTTACCTAACAAATAGGATGAGTGCCAGAGAGCCAAACAGGCCATACAGAGGGACGTAACAGTAGAAGTAACGAACATAGAAAGACAAATACCAAGACAGGTCCTTTAAACAACAACAAGCTCAGCGTCAGTGTTTGAAAATCCCATTCCTTATTTCAGATTTTAAACTACAACACAATCCCAAACCAGGAAAGGTAACTTTATGTAGAAAGCAGAGACTGGCTTCTTACCACCCAGTTGCGACGAGAAATCATAACGTTTAGTACTTGCAGGTTGAAGACGATTGGAATGAGCAGCGGTGGTCCCACTGAAACAGAAAGATGCTCTGATTAACCCGGAAAAGTTCACTTTCCTTTAATCAATCACTCTAACAAAACTTACAGAGAAAGAAGTACTGATGTTGGTGATTATAAGGCAAGTGTTTGATCTTTTTTATGCCGTACTGTAAGAAACAAGCAGAACAGAACAAAGTCAGTGATCCGGTTGGGTTTGGAAACACCTTTTCTTTCAGTTTAACTCGCCTCCACAGGTTGAACGTTTCCGAGGACAAAGATTCCCGACATGTTGACATCAGGATCCTTACTCAGGACATTTGGTTTGGAGTGATGGTTGAAATGCAGATGATTCCACCAGCTCGCTGAAGCGCCCTATGAAAAACGGCTTTTAAGATCTGAAAGACATTTAGCGTGAAAACAAACATCTAAAATCTAGAAGGGTTACCTTTAAATGTCCGATGACAAACTTGTGCACCAGGTGATTCCACTTGGACTTCTTGAAGACAGAAAGGTGACCGAAGTCATGCTGCAGCCACCCGGCCTGTGACTGATGAAGAAAAGATTTAGTTAGATTTAGAGACCCAAAAGGTTCAAATGAAGGCAACTGGACCTTGTTGGTTTCTTAAAAATGTTTTGCTTCTCATCCAAAGAGCTTTGTCAGTTCTGACTGTGACATAGAAGAGTCAAGCTTATAAACTGTAGCTGTCAGTTGTTTCTTAACGAGTTGAAACTGCCTATGAATACCCCTCCTCCCTACCCCCATTGAGTCATTAAAGTCATTATGACCTATTGTGTTAAATGGTTGTTTTAATTAATCAAAGAAGTCCAGTTGCCTTCTGTTGAACCCTTTGGATCACCATGACCTGGATGACTGTGAGCCTTCATCAGCATAGATTTAGAGAGGAGGTTTTCTGCAGTTCAACAATATATAGATTAAAAAGGAATACGACAACCAAATGAGTTCTGTTCAAATCACTTGAGAGGTTGCCAGCATCACTGCACACAGTAATGTCAGCGTCCAGCTTGTCCCCCAGTAGGAGACCATCAGCCAGGCGAGGAGCTCCAGCAGCAAGATGTGACCCAGATGGAGGCAGAAGAACAGAGGCCTGGACTGAAACAGACCCTCCTTCTCCACCTGAGCTCGTAAATGGTCAAAATCCTCTATGATTGTTGCCTGTTGGCAAAGTAAAAGTAAGATTTAGGAAACTAAATAAAAGTATGATGATTTTTTTTCTGTTCATGCATACCAAGTACATGAATAAACAAACTTTCCACCTTTTGCAACATTTATATAAAATTCCATTTTTGGTTCTTTTTAAACACAGATAAGATTTTTTCTTTACCTTGCTGACGGTTTCATTTGCAGCTGCAAACATCTTCAGAGCTGACGCTGATGGTGGCGTCACTTCCTACACCGTTTATCCGTCGGCAGCAAAGGACGTTGTCACCCTCTGCTTCCCGCTCTCCCCTCTCCGATGATGCAGTCCCATGAGCGATCCAATGAGTAAACTCCATCGTCCCTGTTCATGGTCCCACATCCACGTCTCCTTATCTCTATAGCTTCCTTTATCCATTTTTTGTATTTCTGTTGTTCGGTGTTTATGATCCTTGTGTTGTCCCAGTCCATTATATGGTTTTCTCTTGTGCAGTGATCGGTTACGGCCTGGGACGTAATTTTGGGGGGGAACGGGTGGGACATGTCCCCCCCACTTTTTCAAAAGGCAGTTTTGGTCCCCTGCACTTTTTTCCGTCCAAAAACAATGTTACGCTCCATTAAATGGATTTGGTTGAGCACTAGGACCGAAACGGAAACCGGTTTCCTATTAGACCCGCCCAAAAGCTAATCTATTGGCTCTGCTGATACTTGCTAACGTATTATTGGCTGTTGCTGCTGTCACTCAAGTTGTAAACAGTCAGAACGTGCTCACATTGTTTTGCTAGTTTGGAGCCGCTAGGGAACACCGGTACTGAGTCACATCGTCAACTAGACGCTGTGTAATATCAGAGCTCAGCTCAGCTTCCATTACATAACATTAGAATAAGTGTTCATTTGTGAGTCTTTGGTAGTTAGGCACAGCCAGGAGGCAGCATGTCAAGAAAACGAAAAGTGGATATAAGAGACTTCTTTCAAAGTCAAAACGTAAGTTGGAACATGTGACAGACCTGCATTAAGCTCAGACTCACCTCCTCCTTCACAAACATACTCAAAACTAACTTTTACAAACTCATCTCCTCCACATAACTGACTCCTCAGACACAATTTGTTCGTATTATTATAATAATTATTTTTTTATTATTACTATTATCATCATAATTATTATTACTACTAGTAGTAGAAGTGTAACTTCAAAACTTTTATCATTTAACTTTATTGTAAACTTATCTATTGCAATGTATATTTTCACATTAAAAAGCTCTGAAAAATGAACAGTATCATCATCGTCAACAGATTTTTTTAAGCTTAATGTCAAAGATGTACACTTTTCATTAGATTTATCTTATTTTTTCCATTTATTTTTTGTGTGTTGAAATGCAATAACTGTTTAAACACTTTTAAGGGAAATAACATATTTAATATGTTTTTATACACTCAAATGTTAGGGTGATGATCATGTGTAAAACATTAGTTCAGCATGTCCTCTAACACAGCAAATGAACAAACGGCCAGATCTCAGGAGGACCATTTATGTATAAATAATTTTTATACTTTTGACTAGGCCTGGGAAAGTAACAAATTTTGCTGGACGATATTTTGTCCAACAAATTGTTGATGATAAACGATATTGTCAACATTATCTAGACCAAAATAACCACTAATATAATGTTAATATATCATAATAATGCAAGTACACCCTTTAAAATGCAACAAATAAAACTTAATTTAACATTGAAATGTCCAGAACCAGAACTTCTAAATGAATAAAAATAACAAACAAAAATTGAATAAAAAAGGAATCTCACTCCCTGTTAGAAAATGTTGCACCAAAAACAATAAAAAAGACCCAAAACAATAAATACAATGGCCTATCCATTGTCAACAGCCAAAACTGCACTTCAATAATGATAATAAATAAAAATAATAATAGAGTTGTACATTTTTTAACTTTGATATATATATATAGAGGATGGAAAAATTATTGAGATGGGCATGTGACGTGTCAAGGGGTCTTTACATAACACCCCCCACCCCAAATCCGCACAAGCCTGCTGTGTCCCCCCCACTTCTGAAATCAAAATTTCGTCCCTGGTTACGGCTGACTTCTTTATTGTGCTTTCTGCTTCTTGTTTTGCTGCTCTTGTGTGTTTTCGACTTGCCTCTTTCTCACACTCCTTTCTATGTTCTATTGTTCGTGTGTTGAGTTGGCGTCCGGTTTCTCCTATGTGTGTTTTATTGCAGAGTTTGCATGGGATTTCGTAAACGACTCCACATTTAAGTCCAGCTGGTATCTTGTCTTTCGGGTGCACTAGTCTGTTTCTAACTGTTGTGTATGGTTTTGTTGGTGTGTTTATGTTGTGTTTTTTCATTGTTGCTATTATTTTTTCTGTTATGCCTTTGATGTATGGTAAGGTTATCACTGGTTTTGGTTCTTGTCTTTCTGGGTTTCTGGTTCTTTGCTTAGGCTGTTCTTTTCTTTCTGTTGTTGTTTGTTGTTTTCCTTTGTTTTTTGCCCATGTCGGGTATCCGCAGGTCTTTAAAGCGTGTTGTATGTGTTTGTCCTCTTGTTTACAGTCTCTTTCTTCTGTTACCATGTTTGCTTGGTGATATAATGTTCTGATTACTGACATTTTGTGTATGGTAGGGTGTTCTGATGTCCATAATAAGTATTGGTCTGTGTGTGTTGGTTTCTTATATGTGTTCATGTTTAGGGTCCTGTCGGCCTGCCTGGTTATTTTCATGTCTATAAATGCTTTACTTCCTTCTGTTTCTGACTCACACGTGAACTTTATGTTGCCTGTGTTGTCAGTGTTATTCAAGTGTTGTGTTAGTGTTTCTGTTTGTCCTTTTGGTATGATTTCCAGTATGTCGTCTACGTAACGTTTCCATAATTTAATTTAGCAATTTGGGGGGCAGTGGCTATGGCTTTTTGTTCTAGATCTTCCACGAAAAACTTGCACAGGGTGGCTGATAACGGGTTACCCATGGCGAAGCCTTCTGTCACACCCTGTCCTGTCTCCCCATTTGGCCTGTGTCTCTGTTGATTGCTTCCACCTGCCTCTCGTTTCCCAATCACCCAAGCTCCCAGCCCTCCTGTATTTAAACCCCTCCAGTTCTGTGTCTCTTGTTGCCTCATTGTTTCCATGTCCTGTGTCCAGATATCATTAAAGAACCTTTTGAGTTTTCTAGTTTGTCTGTCAGCCTGCTTCCTCCCCAGCTTTTGGATCCTTACCTCTGCTCCACTCACCAGCGCGTCCTGACAGAATGAGGCAACCCAGTAAAGGATCCAGCAGGGAGGTTCTCCCTTGGGAGTGCCTGCTCCAGTTTTTACCTTCAGACCACCGGCCGGCTCCTCTTCCTCCGGCATCGCCTCGCCGCGGACGCCGCCGCTGAACCCGGGCTTCGGCGATCCTCTCCACCCTCCCGGAGCCGGAAGGAGAGTTGGACGGGGAGGCGCAGATGGACCGCTCCTGCTATGTGGGCACCAGACTGGCTGTGTGCTCCCCCGGAGTTGACCCACAGCGTTTGGAAGGATACCGGGCTCCACCGTCACCCCTTGTCCCCGGACGGAGCCGCGAGCTCGCAGCTGCCCCGGCTCGGCGCGCCGGTTTGGACCCGCCCCCAGTCGGATCAGCTGTCCCATCTCTGGTCCAATCAGCGCCTCCGTCATCTGCAGGCAGAGGAACCACGCTTACAGCCCAGCTGACAGAGCTCGCCGATCTCCAGGCGGAGCTTGGCCGGATCCGTCAGCTCGTCAGCCTCCGGGAGTTCCAGCTGGACACCCTATCCTCTCCGTATCTCCAGGAGAGGGTTTCTGTCCAGCCAGCGGCCCCGCCTCCATTCCAGCCAGCGTCTCCCTTGTCTCAGAACCAGAGGAGCAAGCCTGCAGTCCACCCAACAGAGCTCGCTGGTCTCCGAGCTGAGCTGGCTTGGCTCCGTCAGATCCTCAGTCTCCTGGAGTTCCAGTTGGACAATCTATCCTCCCTGCTTTTCCAGTTACCGGCTCCACCAGGTCCCGCGCCACCAGTCCAGTCAGCGCCAGTTCCAGCGGTGGTCCCATAGGTCGCGCCGCATCCTGTTCCAGCGGTGGTCCCAGAGGTGCACCGCGTTCAGTCCAGCCTGTCCAAGTGGTCCAGTCTGCAGCAACTCCTCCTCCACTCCAGAAGCCGGCGGTCCAGAAGCTGGCGGTCTAGAAGTCAGCGGTCCAGAAGCCGGCGGTCCAGAAGCTGGCGGTCTAGAAGTCAGCGGTCCAGAAGCCGGCGGTCCAGAAGCCGGCGGACCAGAAGTCGATGGAGGTCGATGCCCCCAGTCCAGAAGTCGATGCCCCCAGTCCAGAAGTCGACGCCCCCAGGCCCGAAGTCGACGCCTCCAGGCCCGAAGTTGATGCCTCCAGGCCCGAAGTCGACAACTCCAGGCCCAAAGTTGACGCCCCAAGGCCAGAAGTTGATGCCCCCAGGCCAGAGGTTGATGCCCCCAGGCCAGAAGTCGACACCCCCCAGGCCAGAGGTCGACGCCCCCGGGCCATAGGTCGACGCCACCGGGCCAGTTCCAGTAGTGGTCCCCGAGGTCGCTCCGTGTCCAGTTCCAGCGGTGGTCCCCGAGGTCGCACCATGTCCAGTTCCAGTTCCAGCGGTGGTTCCGGAGGTTGCACCGTATCTGGTCCAGCCCTTCCACGGGGCTCCGGTCCAGCCCTTCCACGAGGCTCTGGTCCAGCCCGTCCACGAGGATCCGGTCCAGCCCGTCCAAGAGGCTTTGTCTCCGGTCCAGCCCGTCCAAGAGGCTTTGTCCCCGGTCCAGCCCGTCCAAGAAACTTTGTCTCCTGTCCAAGAGGCTTTGTCCCTGGTCCAGTCTGTCCACTAGACTTTGTCCCCTGTCCAAGAGACTTTGTCCCCTGTCCAAGAGGCTTTGTCCCTGGTCCAGTCTGTCCACTAGACTTTGTCCCCTGTCCAAGAGACTTTGTCCCCGGTCCAGCCTGCAGAGACTTTGTCCCCGGTCCAGCCTGCAGAGACTTTGTCCCCGGTCCAGCCGGCAGACTTTGTCCCCGGTCCAGCCTACAGAGACAATGCCCATAGATCCATCCAAAGGGTCGACATCTCCAGTCCAAGAAGATGACGTCTTCCCCTCCTCTCAAGAGTTCCAGTCTCAAGAGTCTCCGTCCTCTCAAGAGTCTCCAGTGCCCCATGTGTTTCAGTACCCTGTGTCCTGTCCTCCCCTCCTCCTCTGCCGCAGATGCAGGCCCCCAAGAGCCTGTTGTTACCTCCTCCTCTGCCACAGACGCAGGCCCCCAAGAGCCCGTCGTCGCCGCCTCCTCTGCCACAGACGCAGGCCCCCAAGAGCCCGTCGTCATCGCCTCCTCTGCCCTAGACGCAGGCCCCCGGACTCTGCTGGTCCCTGCCTCCTCTCCATCGGCCCCTCGGTCCCTCTTGGCCCTCCCTCTGGGTCCCCCTCCTCCCGCCCTGCTCTGTGTTCCTGTGCGCGTCTGGGAGCCGCCCTTTGGGGGGGGGGGGTACTGTCACACCCTGTCCTGTCTCCCCATTTGGTTCAGCCTGTGTCTCTGTTGATTGCTTCCACCTGCCTCTCGTTTCCCAATCACCCAAGCTCCCAGCCCTCCTGTATTTAAACCCCTCCAGTTCTGTGTCTCTTGTTGCCTCATTGTTTCCATGTCCTGTGTCCAGTTATCATTAAAGAACCATTTGAGTTTTCTAGTTTGTCTGCCAGCCTGCTTCCTCCCCAGCGTTTGGATCCTTACCTCCGCTCCACTCACCAGCACGTCTTGACACCTTCCAGTTGTTTGTATACTGGAAGGAAGCTGTAGAGATAAGGAGACGTGGATGTGGGACCATGAACAGAGACCATGGAGTTTACTCTTTGGATCGCGCATGGGACTGCATCATCGGAGAGGGGAGAGCGAGCAGCAGAGGGCGACAACGTCCTCTGCTGCTCGCGAATAAACGGAGTAGGAAGTGACGCCACCATCAGCTTCAGCTCTGAGGATGTTTGCAGCCGCAAACGAAACATCAGCTAGGTAAAAAAAAAAAAACCTTCTCTGTGTTTAAAAAAGAACCAAAAATGGAATTTGAAGACAAACACAGCAAGAACGTACAAAAGAGATTTATATAAGAACTCACATTTTTGTCGCGGTCCTGGTTCGGCTCTGTTGCTGTCAACTCTCCAATCAGCAGAGGTTTCAGAAACTTTTGCACCAACTTTTGATCTGGATGGAAAGCAGTAAAAGCCTCCTGTGACACATAAAGAAAGTATTGATTCAGCTAAATGCATTTATAGATAATAAACTCCATGATGCACAAAAATATCTAAATAAATTGTTTAGCAACAAATTCATTAAAATTACACATAAAAGACAATATTTTAACATACACCATGACCTTAAAGGTTTGATTCAAAAAGAAACATTTGATGTATTATAAATAATTTGTGCCTGTTTGCAACAGTCAGTAAAAACACAAATCATCACTTTAAACTGTTTGGTGATGAGAAAGATGTACGGTATGTAGATTTGTGATATAGCGGTATGAGGTGATGTTTTTATTACTGGCCACATAATATGGTCAAATGTCACAATGCTTTTTCCATCTTTGAAGCTTTGAAGTGGGGGTGGGGTGGGGGGAGGGGCTTAGATGGATGGTTTAATAAGATCAAAAACAGGAGTTTTGAGTCTCTGTCTGAAAACAGAATAAGTACTTCCATGGATAAAGCACATTGGACTGAAAGGAATCAATCTGAAAATCAGATGGATGACGCATCTGAGATGCTAAAATAATACAAGTGTGTGCCTGTTGTCAATTTTAATTATCTATTCAAAGGCATCTATAAACACACCAGAGTTAAAACTGCACGAGTCTCATAACAAAAACATTTTCTTGCATCTAGTTTGAGGTACATAGACATGTTTTAAACCCAGAAACCCATGTGGGAAGAGAAAACAAGCTTATTAATAAAGACAAGAAGCTTATTGATACCGTGGCATCTTCTCCAGCATAATGTCCGATGACGTGAGAGCCTCCTGGATGCCTTCTGGCCCACTGGGTGATGTTATACACCTTCCTGTTGATGACTAGCCATCGATCGTTCTTGCTGCAGTGTCTCTGGACCTCCTCCCAGGTGTAAACACCTGTCTCCTTCTCGCTTCCTGGTTCTACCAGATCCGTCTGCCGACCTCCACCTCCCATCCTCTCTGCTGCTTGTCTCCGATTCAACTCTAAAGGAATGCTCCTGTCTCAGATCTCACACAAGATGCAAGGAACGTGTCTGAATCTGCAGAAACAGAGTTTAGTCTATTCAGCCAGTAGAATAAAAATGAGCAAAACAACACTGATGCTGGAATCCATCATCCAGCAGTAAATGCAACACAAATATGAGAAATAAATACCTACTTCCGGTACAGTTCTACTTACATGATCTCTCCGGGCTTCAGTCAGAGCAGCAGACCGGATGATGCTGTTCTCTGTCGCCGTGAAGACCGGTTTGAAAAAGAGCAGACCATAAAAGCCATCCTCACCCTGACGCCTCTGATAGGCTCTGAGCATTCACCTCTTCCGAGCGCACGGACTTCGAACAGATCATTCGAGAGTTTCCGACCAATCAGAGCGCAGCAGTGGGGATTTCGGGGTGCTGGTGGCCGCAGGAGCTGCTCACCAGTCTAGTCTTGTCTGAGCGATCATCAGGAGGAGAGTGGCGCTCAGAGAAAATAAATAATAGTAAAAGACAAGTAAATAACTTTTGTTCTAGCAACTCCTGCCGCTCCTTTCCACGCGCGAAATCCCATTTGTTGTGCAGAAAAAACGTCACGTGAAACAGAGAACTGGCCATGATGGGGTGTAATCAGCCTTTCTTGCACTCTGCATTCTTAGCCGCTGCAATTTGGGCTTCGTTTACAAAATAAAATCCATTTCAAATGTCCTTTAAGCTCTTCATCACACGCACTTCTTTTTTCATTCAATTTAATGTGTTTGAAGCTCTTTAAACACAAAAAATCTATTCAATGCCCACACCAATTAAAGAAACATGTCAAACATCGAAATTAACGTAGAAAGCCCAACAGCAAAGTGGTTCAAAGTGATCCGTTAAGTGGAGCTTGTTGGTGAACTTTACAAAGTCCTTTACAAAGTCCAAGACAGACCCACCTCAGGCGCTTTAAACTATCCTGCAGCATCATGTTGCAACTTTAGAGATGTAGTCATGCAGCCAGATGATGACTTCAGCCACGTCTGTGTGTGTACAATCCTCTGGGAAGGCAAAAGATAAGGCTGCTGTACAATCAGTCAGACCATCACCTGATCCTTGTGGAACGTTTTTATGGAAGCACTTACACTACATGTGAAGTCCACTTCATTTATCAAGATTTATAACATTTATTCAGGTTTTTAGGACATTTGATCTGACAACAAACATTCTCACTGTCTCATTTAGCAGAAGTTTAATAGAAAGAATCCGTGTGTTTTTCTGCATATTTCAGCACCTATTCTCTTTATTTAATGGGAATAATACTAAAACACAATGAGTTAGATAACATAAATCAGGTGAGGTCTCGGCCTGGTTCAGACGTTCTTATCAGTCTCAGATAAAATATACATTTTCTTGATACTTCTTATCAGACTTCAACAGTTATTACATCTTAGCGAGCAACAGTTCAGCTGAATGAGGTTGTTTTCAGAAATAAAACGATTCTTTCTGTTTCAAGCTGCATTGTGATGAAGTAAGAAACTACTCTAGTAGAAATTAAAGTTACTCTAAATGTAGAGTATTTATGGAAAACATTATAATAAAGAAAAACTTTGGTAAACGTTCTTTATTTTGTTAAAATCTAGATCAACAGAGCCAGAGGTGCACAAACAGTCAACAATTTATTAAAAACCTGAAAGAAATGCAGCACTGCAGTACAAAACGTTACTCAGAGGGTAATTCAATCAACATTATACACTTTGAACACGTTTAATTTTGTTTTTCTAGCTTGTTGTTCACACCTCACATTTAAAATGAAAAATATTCTAGCATTCCACTGAATTTAACAAAAAATAATCATCTTACTGTTGATCAAAACACTCTTACATCCTTTTTGACTTTCTAATGTGAAATCAAAACCAACATGGAAGTATAAAATCTCACAGATACGATCAGTCTTTGCTGGAAAGTGAAGAGAGATATCACATTTTTGGTGTCCAGCTGATCATTTGTGGAGATACGCATCAAGCCAAAGATCCCCCGAGGTTTTCAGTGACCTGAAAAGGGAAGCCAGGAGAAAAGTGGAAAGTAAATAACCTAATCTGGTTCTAAAATATGTTCTTAAACTTCTGTTTTTTTATTTATTACACCTTGGATTTAGGTTTTGTTTTTCTCATCCTAACAGCTATTACCTGACAACATCAGTCATGCCTCTCCACAAATTTTTCATCTCGTATGAAACTCCATGCTTCTCACACAGAGCGTGGACCCTCTGTGACACTAGGTGGTAGTTGTGGCGCGGCATCGTGGGAAACAAACTTAGGCAAGAGAAAATAAAGCATGTGTCACTGCTGCGAGCTGAAAATTACTTCCTGACTTTAAACTTAAAGACAGTTTTGTCAGAAAACATGGACGTTTATGGGTTCTCATCTAAACTATCAGACTCACTGGTGTTCGATTTGAAAGTTGAGGTGTCCACAGAACCAGTCGTTGAACGCCGACTGCTCAATATTACATGTAGCTTTCAACTGAAATTCAAAAGGAGGCAAATTTGTTATTGTTATAGAGGATAAGGTTTTATCTTTGATGGTTGATAAATCAGAGCTCAGAGCTGAGCACTTAAAGACTGTTGCTGATGGCCTTGAACTGACTGCAGAGAAAGTGGCACATAACTGTGTCACACTGGAGCAGTCAACTGCACAGAGGACCAATGACGACCAACCAAACATACACTGTAAGAAATGAAATGTTGAATTTACCTAAACAAGTTGTGTCATCTGGTTCCACTAAACCTAGCTGAGAGCAAAGAGTAAAATACATTGTTATATGCTGTTATGTTTAAAGTAAATGGATATTATTTTTTACATTAAGGCAACTAGGTTTTGTAGAGCCAGTTGACCAGCTTGGTTAAGTAAGTGGGCGACGGTGGCACAGGAGTTAAGTGCTCGCCCCGTAATCGTAAGGTTGCAGGTTCGAGCCCCGCTCAGCATGTCGCTGTCGTTGTGTCCTTGGGCAAGACACTTAACCCACGTTTCCTGTTGGTGGTGGTCGGAGGGACCAGTGGCACCAGTGCTCGGCAGCCTCGCCTCTGTCAGTGCACCCCAGGGCAGCTGTGGCTACATCGCAGCTCATCCCCACCAGTGTGTGAATGTGTGTGTGAATGGGTGAATGACTGATTGTGCTGTAAAGTGCCTTGGGGGGTTCCAGGACTCTAGAGGGCACTATATCAAATACAGGCCATTTACCATTTAAATCCAGCATTTCATTTCTTACAGTGTACTTGTTTGCACACATTTGTAACCATGACTTCATCTGTGAGACTCTCATTAAAGAGTAAAAAAAAATCATATGTTTATGTTGTAGCAGGTACCTGCATGGTCAGCCAGTCCTGGCGCTTCTCATACTCGATCTCCATTGGGATGTGGTTCATCTGAGTCACCCACACAAAACATTGACTGTCTATAAATCTGTAAAATGTTAGACCAAAATAATCAATCCAAGTGTTTGATCTTTTAACAGTATGCAGAAAATGTTTTGTGAATGATTATTTTATGCTAATCGTCTATCTTGATTGAACTGATCAGTTATTACAACCAAAATAAAGATGAAATTCACATGATGGTTTTAGCACAATTACCTGACAAAGGTCAAAAGTGCCAATGAGCCAAAGAAGCCATACAGTGGACAATAAGAGCAGAAGAAGCGAAAGTAGTACGAAAAGGACCAAGCCACATCCTTAAAAAAGAAAGGAGAATCATTTCAATTTTTATTTTACTAAATTAACATTTAAACATTTTTAGAAGTCCTATAAAAAATAATAATTATAAATTTCACTGTGCCACACAGGTGGAAACTGCTAGAGTGAAGCCAATGCAGTTGACAAAAATTGCTGTTCCCCCCTCATCCACTAGGGGCTGGCTCCAAAATGAGGCAAGTTTCCATTGACTCCCATGTTAAAAATCCCAACTTCACAGCAGAAGTAAACATGTTTTTAAGTCTGATAAAAAAACTGTTCAGGTTTAATTGGTCAAGTTTACCATCATGACATCTCTGAAGGGATGAATATTTTTGTAACTGGAATGGTGGAATGGAATGGAGGGTTTATTTATACAATCATAGTGCCACACAGGGACTCGAATCTTACCACCCAGTCACGCTGGGAAAACATGGCCCTCATGATCTCAAACTGGAAGTAGAAAGGCATCAGCAGAGGTGGTCCGACTGCAAAAGGAAATATGTTTCATTACTGGAAAGTTTTAGGTTGTTGATTTTGTTTGAATGATTTGAAAAGATTGAAGTCAAACATACCAAGAAAGAAGTATTGGTGTTGGTGATTATAGGGCAGGTATTTGATCTTTTTAGTGCCGTACTGTAACAGAGAGTTAGGTTATTTACATTCATGGTGATTAGCAGTAGAAGCTCACTTCTCCAGTCAGAACTAATCTCTGTTTCTTCATACTGAGGACAATCAAAGAGATATCCATGACTGATCAAATATTTTTCACATTCATTAAGAAAGTTATCATTGGCTTAGAGCCCAACAAGCTTCTGTCGGATCACGTCAAGGCTACTGCTGCTTTGATTTTTTACGTGATCACATTCTTCATTCCAGCTTTTAACTTTAATTTCCTGACAGTATGTCAATAACTGAAACTAAAACTATTTTATTGGAATAATTCATCTTTAGTGAAGCACTGATAGCATTTTCTTTAGAAATAAATGGGAAGGCCTAATAAATTAATATTTGTGTCATTCGTTTCAAAATTTATCTCTAAAATTGTTTTATTCTGACATTTCTATGAGATGCCTTTAGAAAAGTTCAGTTCATCTTTAATAATATAAACATAAATATTGACCGACTCAAATCCTCAGTTTTGATATTTCTGAATTAAAGGATTTAAAATCTGGGTTTCTATCAACTTCTCACCTCCACAGGTTGAGTGTTTCCAAGGACAAAAACATGCAACATGTTGACATCAGGATCCTTCCTGAAGACATTTGGTTTGGCGTGATGCTGGAAATGTCGATGGTTCCACCAGTTGGCTGAAGCTCCCTGTAAAACAGAGATCGTCTACATAAACTTTGTAAAAAGGCACATCTGGAACCTGTAAAGATTACCTTTATATGCCCCATAACAAACTTGTGCACCAGATGATTCCACTTGGACTTCTTGAAGACGGAAAGGTGACCAAAGTCATGCTGCAACCATCCAGCCTGTGACTGATGGGGAAGAAATAACTGTGCATTGGAAAGTTTAAATAAGCATAAATACCCATTTAATGAGTTCATTTGATGAAATCACCTGAGCTATTCCCAGAAACAAGGAGGAAAGTAGAGTCAGAGTCCAACTCGTCCCCCAGTAGGAGACCATCAGCCAGGCGAGGACCTCTAGCAGAAGGATGTGACCCAGTTGGAGGCAGAAGAACAGAGGCTTGGACTGAAACAGACCCTCCTTCTCCACCTGAGCTCTTAAATGTTCAAAATCTTCCATGATTTTTTCCTGGAAGTAAAATAAAAGGAACATTTTTAAGCTGAAATGATAAAACTAATCTAGATTTTCAGAAATCTCTCCTGCAAGTGAAATTTCTAACTTTTTATGTGAATTTAAGAAAACTCACATTTTTAGTCCCATCCTGGCTCGGTTCTGTCGTTGCCAACTCTCCAACCAACAGAGGCTTCAGAAACTTCTGTACAAACCTCAGGTCTGGATGAAAAGCACTGAAAGGCTCCTGGAAAATAAAAATATTCATACATAATTTTTTTTATTTAGAAAGATCATTAGGATTATTAGAATTTTGCATTGTTGCAACAAAAATGTCACCGTTACTTTTAATCAAAAAGCTGATTGTTCCATCTTTCAGTTCTTTTTAAAACACAGAAAATGTTTATTTACCTGCAACATTTTGTTTGCGGCTGCAAACATCGTCAGGCTGGCGCCGATGGTAGCATCACTTCCTTCGTTTATCCGTGGGCAGCAGAGGACGTACTGCACATGGATAAATGAAGGAAGTGATGCCACCATCGGCGCCAGCCTGATGACGTTTGCAGCCGCAAACGAAACGTTGCAGGTAAATAAACCTTTTCTGTGTTTTAAAAAGAACAGAAAGATGGAATTTGAAACTCAACACAGCAGGAACACACCAAAGATGTAAAAAGCTGAGTGTTTAAAACATTTACTAATCTGTCAAACTGATTAACCTCATGATGTCAGCTGTATTTTAATCCGATTTGTTTATGCATCAGTGGGAAGTAGGTTCACAAACATAAAACTTGAGCAGATTCAAGGACAGATCAGATAATAAATTGCATGGAAATCTTTGGAAGACCTTCGAAAAGCTTCAGTATCTACTCATCTGAATAAAAGAACACCACAGTAACTACCACCCAGCAATCACATCAGCTGGCGTCCTTAGATAAATAAACCCAAAACACTTCAAAGATAAATATTCATGAAAAGAAAATTTTAGATGTTCATAAAACGTATCTCTTGTGTCTAAACTATTCTTATTAACCAGAACAGCCATAAACATGAGCATAAATAAACCGTATGTGGTCAGAATGACATTGAGATAATCACATGGAGTGATCTGATTACAGGTCACAGCCAGTTACACGTAAAGCCTCCTGGTCAAAGGTCACCCTCATCCACCTAACATCAGAAACTCTGGTTCCTACGACAGAAATATCATGTGAGGTAATAATAATAATGATCAACATCCATAATTCATGATTTTTAATTTTTTTTTCAAAGTAGAATGAATAGAATCCGCTCTTTAACTCACAGACTATACAGAAGAACACCACAAACATCTTCTTGATGTTTAAAGGTCAACACAACTCAGATTAACATATCTTATACTCACCCATTGTTTATGTAAAGTTAAGATGCAGAAGCTTTGTGTGTGTGTGTGTGTGTGTGTGTGTGTGTGTGTGTGTGTGTGTGTGTGTGTGTGTGTGTGTGTGTGTGTGTGTGTGTGTGTGTGTGTGTAAAGCGAAGAATGACCTCTTTGGTCCCAAATGACTCAGGCCATTATCCAGAAATCCTGCTGGATCTTCATCCCATCAACTCAAACTGAGGCTTGTGGCTGACTGATGGTTTCATATGAAGATTTCACTATGTGTGAATATCTTATATCCATTAAATCACACTGAGAAGAATTATAAGGCAGTTTTTAAATGAATGAAGATCTTTAATATGACTAAGTTGGCATCTGAAAAATCATAATCCAACTCAATAAAGTTGCAAGTGGATGTTCCGGAGGATTTACGGCGAGTTACAGAATATCCAACATTTGTTCACTTTTACAGGCCTTAATCTGCATTTTATGCATTAAAGTTTTATTATAGCACATAATTCACAATTTGTATGAATGATTTGTTGAAATCAAAGGTTATCAGAAGGAAACCTTTCTTTAAAAACAAAACAGCCTGCTCGAGCCACTTGTAAATATTTATTGCATATACTAATGCATTTTTACTTTGTTTTAGATAAATTAATAATGTTCTTTTGAGGATCTAGATTTTGTGTAGCTCTGTGTGTAAAAGTTGTATATTCACCGTAGCATCCTCTCCAGCGTAGTGACTGATGACCCGAGCCCCTCCCGGATGCCTTCTGGCCCACTGAGTGATGTTATACACCTTCCTGTTGATGACCAGCCACTGGTCGTTCCTGCTGCAGTGTTTCTGGACCTCCTCCCAGGTGTAAACACCTGTCCCCTTCCTGCTCACTGGTTCTCCCTGCTCAGTCTGCTGACCTCCACCTCCCATCCTCTCTGATCCCTGGATCTGCCTGTGCTCCAATTAACTAGTATGCTCCCAAATCTCACGCTTGGATGTGACAAAAGAGAAATGTCCTTAAATCTGTGAACATGATCTGAAAAAAAGAGGAGGCACAGAACACAGATTTATTAAAAATTAAATTAGACATTAACTATGAAATCCAACAGCCAGGAAATTAAGCAGCTGGAACAAACTGAAAACTAAAGGAAATAGGTGACATGTATAAAGTAAATAAAAGGCACTGATATTTCTCACTTACATAAACCAGGTGTTGCCTTGGTAACTCTCCCTTGTGACCTCTGTATGCTGCTGCTCACCACAGACCAGCTTCAAGCATCGTATAACTCTTCCTTTGTCTGTCTTCCAGGCTGCTTTCATCCTCTTAGACAAAACAAACTCCCATCAAGCCGTTTGGGCGTTTCTGACCAATCGGCACTCAGCTGTCTCATATTTGGACCACTGGTGGTGATGAGATAGGCTCAGTGAGCTTCCCATCTGAGCATCACAAGGTTGTCTGAGCAACCAAAAGGAAACAACCAGCTGGAGGACAAATAACTCACCAGGTTTAGGAGGGAGATGCTGGTGGTTCCTTAGAAAGCAAAGACTTCTGTCAGAACAGCAGCTTATTGTTTTCAATCCTCTGGTGTTTTTTGTCCACGGTGGAGATTTTATTAGTCCTTCTTTCTTGTTGATAATTTTCCTTCAATTTTTTTTGGCACTTTCGTATCACCATCTTATTGTCATGCGTTCTCATGACAGGGTGTGCACTTATGTTTGGGCCGCCTTGTCCATCAGCTCAAAAACTGAGACCAAATCCAAGAAATGTATTGCAGTAAAATCGGTGCTTAAGACTGGGAAAAAGAGACAGTCTTGTCTAAAACATTTAAGTTCACACAACCTCCAGAGATAACAAGTAAAACTCTGAGAAGAGACACTATCGCTTATCAACACAGCTGTGAAAACAACGGCGCCATCCATGGCCACAGCATTAGAGCTGGGATGACCTGGCTTACCCCTCACCACGTGTGGTAAAAACACGCCAGCGAATCTTACTCTGCATTCACATCCTGTGTTCAAAGGTCAGGGGCTTTTTTGGCTTTTATCCAGTAGTTTCGATGAAAGTAGAGGAAAGTTTATTTAAAGCAGCTATGATGCCTGTCAAACAGCATGCATATGGCAGCAGATTAGCATGTAACCTTTATAGGCTTCTATCTGTGGCTAACCCTAACCCTAATGAGGAGAAAAGAAAGAATACAAACTAAAGATTTATGCAGAACTCAGACAAAAGCTACCAACTCGAACAGAAACTCAGGAGGATAAAATATTCTGCTACTTACTGGTAAAGGAATCTAACACATTGGTTTGTAGCTTAGCTCTCTTTCTATAAACATCTTAAAGGTGTGAGACACTCGTTTAATCACATCTTTTGTCGTGGTCTCTAGTGGGAATCTGGAGGGAAAAAGCCATGGTGCACCATTTTCAGGCACTAGCAAATTTTCAGATCAGAGGAGAGCTTCCGGCTGCAGGATTTGGACTGGAGTCTTACGTCCCGATATTTGGACATATTTTCTCAGACTGGCTAACAGCAATGCGACTCTACAACTGACTCTGTTTGCTCTGCAACAAGTGGTGGCTAGTAAACTTTTTTTGGGTTGGGCTAATGTTTCCCGTCTGTTTTCAGATGTGCTAACCACATATCACCACTAGAGGGTGGAACATACGTGACCATTCTCATGCATCACACAGTGAACCCGACGGATCTGGTAGCAGGTCCACGAGAATTTCCAGCAGCAAAGTATTTCCAAATACTTGCTTAATATTCTCTGATGTATGCAAACTGCACACGTACTTAATGGGAAGAGGCGTATCTTAACAATAGAATCCACATTTTCTTCCTCAACACCAAATGCCAACAATAAGCTGCCAAATGAAAAGTAAAACAAAGCTAAGATCATGAAGCCAAAAGGGTAAATTCAGTCTGAACTTTGCTGGTTTATGGTCATTATAATCTGTGTTATAGTAAAAAAAAATCTCCTCGGTTTGTGTAATCCTTTGTCCCAACGTCACATTAAGCAGATTCTTGGGTGTTTTTATCTCCCGGAGAGAGTTAACAAATCTCTGATACCACATTCCATCATTTTGTGGTTCTCCGTAATAAAAATCTCCACGAGGTGTACTCAGCTGCTCTAAAACAAACAAAGAACAGTGAGCTAAAAAAAAAAAAGAGAGAGAGATGAACTGTGGAGAGCTTCAGGTGAAGATCCAGAGCTGAGCTGAGACTTTGCCCGGTTTCGGTTGCAAACCTCTACAAACAAAGACTATCCTAATCTTTGTAATGGAGGGGGGATCCAGCACGAATGCACCAGTTCTAGCATAGGTCTATGTTAAAGATTGCTATGACAGAAAAGGAACAGAAAATACATAATGGGACGTTTCAGTTGTCTTCAGAGTGTGAGACAACATTTTTAAACTACACTTAAATGCAGATTACATGCAGCACTTATAGTTTGTACGATGTGTAGATCGTTTATCTTAATTCTAATGTTTGTTTGTTTTTTAAATATATCTAGTGGTTCTTTTCTTCTTCTACCTGTGAGACTGGTGGGGCGGTGCCCTAGCACCCCCCATGGATGAGCCACCACTGTCTGCAACGTTGCTGTTTTATCTTCAGAAATAAGCCTGGAGGAGTTCTGCCGTGTGGTGGAGTTGTTAATGCAAACTTTTTTGTAAGCTTCTACCAGTCGATACGCTCTCTGCTGTTTCCTGGATGCCTAAACCAACAACAGCCTTCCCAGTCACAAGTCAAGATGGGTGAGTCCATGACTGTTAAGCGACAGTGTTTCTAATCCTAGGTTCATCATTTATTTTCTATCAGAAGCTAATGCAGGAGACAGGTGTAGGAGACTATTTTCATGGTAACCATAAATAAGCAGAAACAATAGGCCTTCACAGCTGCAATCTGCTCTGGCCTAATAATGATTACAAAATGTTTTTTTTCAGTTAACCACGCCTTTAAACAGTACTACCCAAACAGTTCTTTTTGACCTTGAAGCTGTCACGATTCACACACGGAGGAGGGGTGACGTCAGCCGGGAGGTCATGTGAAATATTCTGTTCCCCTGTGTCGGGAGGTCACACTTCAGGCTATCTTCACAACATTTGTGATCGACTTTTATGGGAAAATTATGTAATGTAATAATGTCATACTTGTGATGTATTTTTTAGCTATATGTCCTCCTAAAAACAATAAAAGGTACAGTAAAAACATTCTTGTTCACTCTTTTCTTATAATTTTTGAGAGTTATGTAAAAGGATGTAATCTCACTCAGTTGAACCATTTTTTATTTGAGATTGTTTAGTCCTCATAATGGACAATAAGTTGTGTGAATTAGGAAATATTTGCTCTTGATTGCCTGAGGAAAACAGAATATTTCAGGGGAACATAATTTCCCACAACACCTGTTTCACGTGGATCTGAGAGCAGAGTTGTAAACAAGCTGACTGCCGTTACCAGCTAACGGATATGAAGTGATCACTGGCTGCATGTTAGCCAAGGCTAGCAAAGGAGGGTTGGCGAGTCGGGGACACACCGTGGAGATCAAGTAAACAATGCTGATTTAGCCATCAGCTAATTGTGGCTCCTAGCTGGTGTGAGCCACGGCGGAGATGGACATCACTAGCTGCCTATTAACCATGGCTAATGAAGGAGGGTTGGCTAGACAGCCTGATAGGATTGTAGTCATCCCAAACGTCTTCGGTTTAGGGATCATGAAGGCCACTGTGCTCTTATAGGAACCTTAAGTACAGCAGATGTTTTTTGTAACCTTGGCCAGATCTGTGCCTTTCCACAATTCTGTCTCTGAGCTCTTCAGTCAGCTCCTTTGACCTCATGATTCTCATTTGCTCTCATATGCATTGTGAGCTGTAAAGTCTTATATGGACAGATGTGTGGATTTCCTAATCAAGTCCAACCATTTAAATCAAACACAGCTGAACTCCAATGAAGGTGTTTGACTATCTTCAGGAAGAAACACCTGAGTTAAATATAGTGTAAAAGCAAAGGGTCTTCTCTAATAAATCTGCAAAAATTTCTACAAGTCTGTGTTTTTCTGTCAACATGGGGTGCTGTGTGTACGTTAACGAGGGAAAAAAATAATTTAATCTATTTTAGCAAATGGCTGCAACATAACATAGTGAAAAATTGACGGGAGTCTGAATAATTTCTGCACCTCAAGACATGCAAGAAAAGTGTGTGAGGGTTTTCATCCAGCCTCCGAACACTAAAAAAATCAGTCTGACATCAAAATATTCAGAGATCAAAAATATATTTTATTGGAGTACAATTTTTTTTTCATTGATCAAAGAAAACAACAAAACTACAGTAAACATACTTGTGCTTTTAAACCACAGCCTGAGGCTGTTTTCTATCGGAAAATGTATACTAATGACTAACTGAGCTAGGGTGAGTTCACGCTGTACCTTTAAAAACGTAATTAGGTCACAACTTTTTCATGTAGCAAGATGATGCTTCAAGCTAACGTCAAACAAGAAAACGTTCATGTAAAAAAGATAGAGTTGGTGATCTAAGAGTAATAAAAGTCACGCAGGATCAACCTGGATAATTAATTTAATGGATGAAATGTCATTATACAGCAACTACACATGGTTGTCACTTTATTTATTACTTTTTATGTTTAAGCTTAAAGAAATACCCCGTAGTTTCATCTAACCAAACACATTAAATCTGTACAAGTACTGTGGATGATGTTCTTGTTGTTGTTACTTCTCAGCTTTTTGCTTCAATTCATTGAATCAAAACTCAGAACTAAATGTGTTTACTGAGAGCAAATATCAGAAAAGCCTCAATGCATTTTGTAAAAAGTAGCAAATGTGTAGATTTTTTTTAACAGATTGTAGACATTCATAAAAACCTGCAATGCAACATTTTGTGAAATTGGGTCATTTTAAGTAAAGATGCTATCAATAAAATGTATGCAGCATTATTTTTTATGACGCTCAAACTATGATAGCAATAAAATATTTATAATTTTACTTCAAATACAAAAATGCACAGAAACAAGGATGATGTTCAGGCAAAAGTTGCTAAATCAGGACCTTTCAATAAAATAAAATACATTACCATGGTTAAAACCCTTTGGTCTATATAATATTTTATAGCATCATGTTTTGTCCAGAAACCCCCAGTTTGTAGGGTGCATGAAGATTGACATTTCATACATAAACAGAAAAAAATAATAATAAAATAAACTTATGGTAAACAGATAATTTATGATTGTTAACATACTTAGTTTTAGAATTCTGTCACAATAAAAGAAAAACAGCCAGTTAAATAAATATTTTACCATATTTGTCAGTTTTATTCGAACCATGATGCTACTTTTAATTTTTTTTACTCTATAAATGAATGAAATCAACTCAACAAACAAAGAATTTATACATTTCATATGATTGGAGGCACACAGGTACAGTACAATCAGTTTTCATTCAGAACGGAGGAAGAAGAATCAGATGTTTGCTCTGCAGCTGATCACTTGTGGAGATACGCGTCAAGCCAAAGATCCCCCGATTTTTTCAATGAACTGAAAAATAAGCAAGCAAAAGTGGATAAAATATCAGTTAACTGCACAATCTGACGATGAAACAACATCTTTATCCTTGTTTGTATAAATAGACTTCAGCTTATGTTAACTCGTGTATTTTTCCTTTCTGTTTCTCGATCTGCCAGTGAGTTAGTACCTGACAACATCAGCCATTCCTCGCCACAAACTTTTGATCTCGTAAGAAACGCCGTGTTTCTCACACAGGGCACGGACCCTCTGGGCCACCAGGTGGTAGTTGTGGCGCGGCATCATGGGAAACAAACTTGACAGGGAGAAAAAAAAATCAAATGTGTTTTACGTAAATGTAACACCAGTCAATTTTCCTTGGGATTTATGTTGAAAAGTAGATCTTACGGTTCACGTTTTTATGAATTCTTGTTCTAGCAGCTTACATCTTACAGCTCTTTTTGGTATTATCCTGTATGTTTTATTAGACAAATTATAACTAATATCTAGTTCAACAACCTCTGGTATTAATTTCAGACATGGACTTATATGTTCAAGGCTTTTCCTCATAATCAAACCCTTCCATGTAACATTATCTTCATCCTGATGTACTCTGCACTCCACCTTAAAGTGACAATATGTAGTTTTTACTGTTAATATCTGGAAATATCCATCAAAATGTTGTTGAAAATTAATGAAACGATGCCCAGTTGTTGAAAAATATTGGTGGCTTCGTAACATATAACCATAAAAACAGGGCCTAAAATAGAGAGCGGCTCTAAGTCTCTGGGCGACGCCAAATTAAACACCATGTTTCCTTCTACGGGAGCCCGTGAGGACAAAACACATTTACTGATTTGTAGCAAGCTGTTACAAAACGTTGTCATTCATAAAAGTTGTTGTTTTACACATTTATCTTTCACTCATTGCTGTCCTGGAGGTAGAGTGATCTGACCCTAACCCAAACCCAAAAATTGTGCTCCTGGGATTTTTGACCCTAATGGCCCCCGACCTAATGTTGGTAAGGTCTTACTCTAATACAGATATACAGCTTACTTGCAATGATTTAGGTATTTACTGCCCGCTATCGCCAGGGACACCATCACTTTACTGAACTGTGCCGTGGCTTCATCAAAGGTTTTGACTCATTTATTATCCTTGCCATAGAAGACTCCACCAGGGGCTGCCACCCCAGACAACACCCAGGATCAAGGTGATATTCAAACCCTTCCATCAAATAAAGTTGATAATTCCACTAAGGGGATTACTCCAACTCTAAAGTCACCAGATGGCCAAAATATTCCACCACAAATGCAATGCGCTTCAGGAAAACTTACTGGTGTTCGATTTGAAAGTTGAGGTGTCCGCTGAACCAGTCGTTGAAGAAGGACTGCTCAATGTTACATGTGGCTTGTAGCTGAAAAAGAACAAAGTAGTGCAAATGTGGGGATGCATGAAGGGTTGATTTGCAAAAAACAGATCCAGAACATTTTAAAATAAAATCACCAAACTTTATTTTGACCTAAATCACCCAAAGAAAATAATAAAAAGATGAACATTAAAGCAAACACAAGACCCAGGCAGTCAGCTAAATGGAGATAAGACAGGAACGTAGAGCTCAAAAGAACAAAGTAACCGATGCTGAATCAATCTTCAATCCAACTGAACGTTTCTCTTTGGAGCAGCTGAATGAACTGTTTCATGACCAACAAGTCTAACTTTTACCAGACTGAAGCAGGTACCTGCATGGTCAGCCAGTCCTGACGCTTCTCGTACTCAATCTCCATTGGGATGTGGTTCATCTGAGTCACCCATACAAACCAGTGACTTTCTAAAAACCTGTTGAAGAAACAAAAACAATCATTCAACAAATACATCAGGTGACTGAAAAGTACAGGCCCAAAATCAAATATAAGTATTATTTTATTATAGCACATCAATGGTCTTAAATGATAGTGAGGCAATATAAAAAGAGTATAATTCCTTTACTTATTTACCTGACAAAGGTCATGAGCGCCAACGAGCCGAAGAAGCCGTACAGTGGAGTGTAACAGTAGAAATAGCGGAAGTAATACGACAGGGAACAAACCAAATCCTTCAAAATAAATAAAAAATAAATACAGTTTTGAGTTCATTTAGTCACAGTCATTTTATATTTAAACAATTATAAGTGCATCAAATGCTAATCTGAAATAATAACCAGCATCAAGGTTTTGTTGCATCTGAACTGGAATCTTACCGCCCAGTGACGGTGAGTAATCATGGTTTGCATGATCTGAATGTGAAAGTAAACTGGGATGAGCAGCGGCGGTCCCACTGCAAAGGAAATGTGATTTATTCCAAGAAATCCTTTACTTTTATTTTAGTGCTTTTATCTTTCACTTCAAGCAGACTTACCGAGAAAGAAGTATTTATGTTGGTGATTATAGGGCATGTGTTTGATCTTTTTAATGCCGTACTGTAACAGAGAGTTCAGAGTTAGATCAGCAGGTGAGCTGTGTGTAATGGTAAAGATGCCTGTGCTACTCACCTCCACAGGTTGGGTGTTTCCAAGCACAAAAACATGCAACATGTTGACATCAGGGTCCTTCCTGAAGATGTTTGGCTTGGCGTGATGCTGGAAATGTCGATGGTTCCACCAGTTGGCTGAAGCTCCCTGAAAAATAATCAGTTTTTGTTTGACATAAAAACAGACTTTCAGAAATCTAGAAGGGTTACCTTTAAATGCCCGATGACAAACTTGTGCACCAGGTGATTCCATTTGGACTTCTTGAAGACAGAAAGGTGACCGAAGTCATGCTGCAACCATCCGGCCTGCGACTGATGAAGCAGACGATGAAGGATCATTAGACATTTTTAATGACATTTTTTGATGTTTTTTGAGTAACATGAATTTTATTTATGCTACCTGAGCAGTTGCCAGCATCACTGCACACAGTAATGTCAGCGTCCAGCTTGTCCCCCAGTAGGAGACCATCAGCCAGGCGAGGACTTCCAGCAGCAGGATGTGACCCAGATGGAGGCAGAAGAACAGAGGCTTGGACTGAAGCAGACCCTCCTTCTCCACCTGAGCTCGTAAATGTTCAAAATCCTCTATGATTGTTGCCTGGAAGCAGAGAAGAAGAAACAAACTAAAGCTGAAAACTTCCTGATTGGAACTAAAGGAACACATAGGCCAAATGTAACTTTTAACAAATTGTGATCATTTTTATCACAATTGTGTAGATTTTGTTGTTACTATTTTAAACAAAGTGTCTGAACAACATGTCAAGTTTTTTACAATTAAGCCTGTTTCTGCATGTTTAAATGTCACCAGGTCATTCACAATTATTCACCAAAGGCAGGATCCTGTGGTTTAACCCTCTCAGGCTCAAAATAAGTTTTGATAAAAGGACGAACAACTAAGTCCTTCAGGGGTACTTCTGAGTTTAAAAATGCTCATTAAATACGTATGTGGAGTAACCTGGTAGGTAGGTTGTTACGTCGCAAATCTGCAACGCCTGCCTCCAGAGGGTTAAGCAAACTATCTGACTTCCTGTCTACGTAGGAGATGAGTGCAAAAACTCACATCTTTATTCCGATCCTGGTTTGGCTCGGTCACTGCCAACTCTCCAACCAGCAGAGGCTTCAGAAACTTTTGCACAAACCTCAGTTCAGGGTGAAAAGCAGTGAAAGCCTCCTGTGAAACATAAAAAATCTCAGTAATTTTAGAAATACAGAAAAACATCTGGAAAAAAATACAGGCTTCATGCATGATTTTTTTTTACAATTTTCATTTTATTTTCATTGAACTAACTAAAATTCTAGCAACATTTAACCGATTAAACCTGTAAAAGTGGACATGGTGTGCACTTTGTGCCTTTTCACCAGGTTCTTATGGCACTATTTTAAAATTTAAAACATCCCCTGGTTTTATTTTAAGATATAAATACCAGAATGTGCATTATTCTTATCCAGAAAGACAATAAACAGGAGTAGAAATAAATCATGACATTTAGAGATAATATTGTGCTATGGGGTGATCTGTTTATTACAGGTCACACTCAAGTTACACGTAAAGACTGGTCAAAGATCACACTTGTCCAGTTAACATCAGTTGTATAAGTGAATACAAATAATATTTTATATTATATCTGTATTTTCTTTGTTTAATTAAATTGCAGCCCAGTTCAAAAGTGTCTATTAATAACAATATCACACACAACATCTTAGAGGTTCTCAAATAAGATCCTTTGCTTTAAGAATTAGGTCAATAGCCTTGGCTGAACGGCAACACATGATATTTTACACTTTCATCATTTATTTAACAGAAAGTTAAGATGCAGAAGCTGTGTGTGCAAAACAAAGAATGACCTTCATGCTCTCAAATGATGAGGAGCCTGGTGAGGCATTGCTGATCCAACACACCTGATCCTCATCACATCAGCTCATTAGAACCATGACGACGGTATATGGATGTATGAACATTGTACACAATAACACCAGCACGGCCACAAGCACCATAATAAACTTCAGACTAACATGACCAGGTGGACCACAAGCAAAGAGTCGCACAACACAAACGCCAACAATGACAGTTGTGTGTGAGTTTCATCTGTCTGAAACTTCAGCCAGATGTTTTCCTTGGAAGAAAAACGGATTGACATCTGTTCATAAATGAATGGCTGCAGGTGGCAACAAACCTGTAAGAAAACACCAGTGTTCCTCCTAAAGTTTGGTGGGAGGCTGAGAGGTGCTGAAAAAACCCCACAGAGGTTTTTTTTTTGTTTGTCTTTTTTAACCCTCATATGTCCATGTTCTTCATCCTTGTATTAGTTATTCATTTGTGCCAATACCAACAACGATAAAGTAATAATGATGTGATAATAATGTCCAACCTTTTATTCAAACTTTACCACAAATTTTAGATTTGTTGGTATTTTTCTGTTTAGTTCACTCCGTAGCGCAACTGCAGGTTAAAGACCTGCAGATGTTTTGTTAACTAAATAATGACTCACTGGAGTTCTAGTTGTTATTTCAGGTGTAAAACTTGAAAAGAAAAAATATGCATGATGCAAATTAATAGCATTAGGTTTCTCTTTTTAAACAATTAAATTTAATTACCGTAGCATCTTCTCCAGAGTAGTGACTGATGACCCGAGCCCCTCCTGGATGCCTTCTGGCCCACTGAGTGATGTTATACACCTTCCTGTTGATGACCAGCCACTGGTCGTTCCTGCTGCAGTGTCTCTGGACCTCCTCCCAGGTGTAAACACCTGTCCCCTTCGCGCTGCCCGGTTCATCCGGGTCATTCTGCTGACCTCCACCCCCCATCCTCTCCGGATCTCTGCGCTCTAAAAGGACCTGTCCGCTCCAAAGTCTCACACCTTGGTGCAACAAAACGCGCCTCAAACCGTCTGCAGAAAGTATTGGGCGAAGCTTTCAGCGTGACTCACTGAATTAAAAAGAAACACAAGTGCAGCAATGTATTAATATTTAATGCTGAAATCCGACATCCAGCGAACTGTAAGAAGCAAAATTAATGAAATCATTAACAAATCAAATGAGCTCATTGATTAAACAATGTTTTATCTAATAAAAATACATTTTGAATAGTTTTCATGTTTACAAACTTACATAATCCTGGTTTTATCTCGGTAACTCGGCTGTTGTCACATGAACACACTCATTCTGAGCTCCAGTTCGGTTTTGACTCGATTCAAATAGAAGCACATTAAATCCCATCCTTCAACTGGCTTTCCTCATAGGCTGCAGTCATCGTCTCATTCATCCTCTCAGACAGAACAAACTCTGGACCGATCATTCGAGCGTTTCTGACCAATCAGCGCTCAGCTGTCTCATGCTGCAGCGCCGGTGGCCAAGAGGTGGCGGGTGCAATAGGCTCAACGAGCTCCCATCTAGGGCCGTCAGAGCGGGCAAAGGATGCATGCAGCTGGGGGACGTGGATCCATGATGGGAGATGCTGCAATAAACGCTCTTTACCTCCAATTATAGATTATCAGACTCACATGTCTGAGGTAAATGTCTTGGGAGGGGAAAATGAGGTCGATCATCTGGTCAAACGCAGCACTGCTGACAGATGTTTTATTTTTAAAAGCTGCAAGAAACTTTCAATATACTGAGCTGGAAAATGCTGAGAAACCACATCCATAATTTTGTTGACGAAATTTTCGTTTTTGAGTGAAAATATGCAGATATAAATGAAACAAATATAAATGAAATGAGATTTAAATTAATTAAGCTATTTTATTCTACAATAAAGGCTAAATGATGATGATTATTGATCAACATTTTTGTGGAATAATAAAAAATGTCAATGGAAAGTGACAGTAACAAAAATCCAATCAGAAAACGGAAAATAGAGGAGAACAATTAAAGAACCAATCGGCAAATGGAACATGTGCCTAGATGAGAAAAGAACCTTTCAGCCTAGAGCTGGCCCCTGTTTGAACGAGCTGCCAGTAACAGTTGAACAGTTTATGTCTAAAAAGAGAAAATGTCCACAGCTGGGAAGAAAATAATTAAATATGATAATTTGACAACTATTTGGGGTTTCCACAGGTTGTTGATTTCCCTTCTCCCAGGGAGGAGGAGGCGACGTCATCAGACGAGCCGACTTCGGAGGGGGCGGCGACGTCATCAGACGAGCCGACTTCAGAGGTGGCGGCGACGTCATCAGACGAGCCGACTTCAGAGGTGGCGGCGACGTCATCAGACGAGCCGACTTCAGAGGAGACGACTTCGGAGACGTCATCAGAGGAGACGACTTCGGGGACGTCATCAGAGGAGACGACTTAGGAGACGTCATCAGAGGAGGCGACTTCGGGGACGTCATCAGAGGAGACGACTTCGGGGACGTCATCAGAGGAGACGACTTCGGGGACGTCATCAGAGGAGACGACTTCGGGGACATCATCAGAGGAGACGACTTCGGGGACGTCATCAGAGGAGACGACTTCGGGGATGTCATCAGAGGAGACTACTTCGGGGACGTCATCAGAGGAGACGACTTCGGGGACGTCATCAGAGGAGACGACTTCGGAGACGTCATCAGACGAGCCGACTTCAGAGGTGGCGGCGACGTCATCAGACGAGCCGACTTCAGAGGTGGCGGCGACGTCATCAGACGAGACGACTTCAGAGGAGACGACTTCGGAGACGTCATCAGAGGAGACGACTTCAGGGACGTCATCAGAGGAGACGACTTCGGAGGAGGAGGAGACGTCATCAGACGAGCCGACTTCGGAGGAGGAGGCGACGTCATCAGACGAGCCGACTTCAGAGGTGGCGGCGACGTCATCAGACGAGCCGACTTCAGAGGTGGCGGCGACGTCATCAGACGAGCCGACTTCAGAGGAGACGACTTCGGAGACGTCATCAGAGGAGACGACTTCGGGGACGTCATCAGAGGAGACGACTTAGGAGACGTCATCAGAGGAGGCGACTTCGGGGACGTCATCAGAGGAGACGACTTCGGGGACGTCATCAGAGGAGACGACTTCGGGAACGTCATCAGAGGAGACGACTTCGGGGACATCATCAGAGGAGACGACTTCGGGGACGTCATCAGAGGAGACGACTTCGGGGACGTCATCAGAGGAGATGACTTCGGGGATGTCATCAGAGGAGACTACTTCGGGGACGTCATCAGACGAGCCGACTTCAGAGGTGGCGGCGACGTCATCAGACGAGCCGACTTCAGAGGTGGCGGCGACGTCATCAGACAAGACGACTTCAGAGGAGACGACTTCGGAGACGTCATCAGAGGAGACGACTTCAGGGACGTCATCAGAGGAGACGACTTCGGAGGAGGAGGCGACGTCATCAGACGAGCCAACTTCAGAGGTGGCGGCGACGTCATCAGACGAGCCGACTTCAGAGGAGACGACTTCGGAGACGTCATCAGAGGAGACGACTTCGGGGACGTCATCAGAGGAGACGACTTCGGGGACGTCATCAGAGGAGACGACTTCGGGGACGTCATCAGAGGAGACGACTTCGGGGACGTCATCAGAGGAGACGACTTCGGGGACGTCATCAGAGGAGACGACTTCGGGGACGTCATCAGAGGAGACGACTTCGGGGACGTCATCAGAGGAGACGACTTCGGGGACGTCATCAGAGGAGACGACTTCGGGGACGTCATCAGAGGAGACGACTTCGGGGACGTCATCAGAGGAGACGACTTCGGGGACGTCATCAGAGGAGACGACTTCGGGGACGTCATCAGAGGAGACGACTTCGGAGACGTCATCAGAGGAGACGACTTCGGAGACGTCATCAGAGGAGACGACTTCGGGGACGTCATCAGAGGAGACGACTTCGGAGACGACATCAGAGGAGACGACTTCGGAGACGTCATCATAGGAGATGACTTCGGAGAAGTCATCAGAGGAGACGACTTCGGAGACGTCATCAGAGGAGACGACTTCGGAGACGTCATCAGAGGAGACGACTTCGGGGACGTCATCAGAGGAGACGACTTCGGGGACGTCATCAGAGGAGACGACTTCGGGGACGTCATCAGAGGAGACGACTTCGGGGACGTCATCAGAGGAGACGACTTCGGAGACGTCATCAGAGGAGACGACTTTGGAGACGTCATCATAGGAGACGACTTCGGAGACGTCATCAGAGGAGACGACTTCGGACACGTCATCAGAGGAGACGACTTCGGACACGTCATCAGAGGAGACGACTTTGGACACGTCATCAGAGGAGACGACTTCGCACACGTCAGAGGAGATGACTTCGCACACGTCAGAGGAGATGACTTCGGACACGTCAGAGGAGACAACTTCAGAACAGGAACGGGCATCGACTTCAGAACAGGAACAGGCGTCGACTTCAGAACAGGAACGGGAGTCGACTTCCATCGACTTCTTGTCCGGGGGCGTCGGCTTCGGGTCCGGGGGCGCCGACTTCTGGTCCTTCGGTTTTCGGACCTTCGACCTCTGGACCGGAACCGGAACCGTCTGCGTTTGGCCCGGAGGTGTCGGCTTCTGGTCCCTCGACTTCTGGACCGCCGAGTTTTGGACCGGATCCGGTACCGTCTGCTTCCGGGTCGGTACCCTCTGCCTCTGGGCCCGCTCCGTCGGCTTCTGGGCCAGTGGCAGAGCCGCTGTTAGGAGAACTTGGAGCGATGAGGAGAGACGGGAGGTCAGCTCGTCCAGCTCTAGCTCCCTGAGGCTGAGCGTTCGACGGAGCTGGGCCAGCTCAGCCCGCTGACCGGCGAGTTCCGCTGGGTGAACCCCGCGCTCGCTCCCCTGGCCCTGAGACGAGGAGGATAGAGCATCCAGGTGAGACTCCTGGCGGCTGATGAGCTCGCGGAACCGGCCGAGCTCCGCCCGTTGCTCTATCAGCCGGGCTTCGATTGCTGCTCCTTCCTCTACAGACGACGGAGGCGCCGGTTCGGCAGGAGACGGGACTGGTGGTCTGGCCGTGGGCGTGTCCGAACAGCCGCGCCGGGCAGGAGCAGAAGCGGGCTCACAGCTCCGTCTGGAGACCCCGGATGGTGGTGGAGTCCGGCGTTTTTCCCCACGCCGTGGACCGACTCCGGGGGAGCAGATAGCCAGCCTCGTGCCCACATAGCTGGAGCGATCCGGGAGCGTCTCCCGGTCCAAACTCCCATCCGGTTCTGGGAGGGAGGTGAGGATAGCCGAGGGTGCCGGTCGGTGCCGCCGTCTGCGGCGGGGCGGATCTGGAGCACAAGGAGACGGAGAAGCTGGCCGGTGGTCGGACGTGAGCCACTGGAGAAGGAAACTCCACAGGAGAATCTCCCCGTTGGATCCACTACTGGGGGGTGGTGTCATTCTGTCATGACGTGCGCGGAGTGAAGCAGAGCTAAGGCGAGGATCCAGACCGGGGAGGAAGCAGGCAGACAGGTAGGATTAATTCCACAGGTTTATTAGGACGCACGCTGACACTGGAACAATGACACCACAAGGAACACAGAACAGAAGGGGTTTAAATACCTGAGGAACGGGAGCTATGGTGATTGGGAAACAAGAGGCAGGCGGGAGCAACCAACGGAGACACAGACTACAACCTAGGAGAAGACAGGACAGGGTGTGACAGTTTATCAGCGAGCAGGAGCGGGTCAGGGCACGAGGAGTAGATTGCTGCTGCAGCCAAACCGAAGGCGAGGAGCAGTGCATCTGTTTTTATCATTTTTGTTCTGCTGCAATGGTCGACATTATCAGCGTTCAGTGATCTAGCTGTGTTTGTGTGAGGTAAAACATTCAGGTGTCCCACCTAGGTAAATGAATGCAGGGGAAACCTCTAACAACTACACCTGAAAACTTGGGATGGACAATATATCGGCATCATTATTGGTATCGTCGATGTTAGTCCTTTTTTAACATATTGGTATCGGTTTGATAAATAAAACCGGGCCAATTTTACTAATCGATATTTTTTCCATCTCGTCTCCATTTGTTTGCCGATTTCAGAGGGTGAGGGGGTGATGTGTATTTGTTTAGTCATGTGAACAGTGAATGAAATCATCTCAGAAGCATATGTGTGTGTGTTATGTGTACATAATAATGTAAATTCAGCTTTGATGATTTTCATTCTACACAAAATCTTCTGATTTTAGAAGCATTAATGTCAGTATTTCGGTATCGGCAAATATCGGTTATCGGCCATAACAGTGATCTCAATATCGGATGTCGGTATCGGCCCAAAAATGTCGTATTGGTGCATCACTGAAAACTATTCTCACCTTTAGTTCATCTCCTTGCTTGATTAGAGTAACACCTTTAAATGTTTTGATGAGATTATGTAATTTCCATAAATCTTTACAAGTTTTACT